GTGCGCCGCTGCCGTCAAAGACAATGAGCACGGCATTCACAACGGCGACGACGCTCGATAGGAGCGTCTAAGTGACGGCGCGTATATGTCAGAACCATCAAACGATATTTATGTATTTAATGCAATTTATTCCGTATTTTTACGACTACATGCAAGTGTTATAGCTGTGCTCATCGTCGGCGACGACAACGACGGGTCTACCGACGAGGCGCCGGAGAGGCGGGACGCAGCCCCGAAGAAGCGGCGCGCCTGCGTCACCTGACCCGCGGCGGTACACCCTAGGGTTGGGGTTTGCTACCAGACTTCTACCCGGACCGCGGCCGGAAGCAAGGGATGCATGGTGGTCGACGGGGAAGACAGCGAGGACGGGGCGTCGAGCAGAGTAGCAGACGGCCTTATTATACTACTGTAGGCGGTGTCGTGTACTGTATGTAGACCGATGCTCGAGCGTTGAAGTCAAGGGGGACGAGGTGGGGTACCCAGGGGGGGCGTTCAGGTGGGGTGGCAAAATAAGGTTTTCAAGACCCCTTGGTCTCGCGTCTTGGGGCGTAGTCCCAAGTCTAAGGCGTCTCGCTTTTGGCGTCACTCGGGTGCTCGGACTTGTCGGTTCGTCACCCGGCTCGATCTTGTTGGACCCGAGTGCAACGAATCCGCGTCGTTTGGCTTTGACGCATACACACGTAGTCTCACCGCACCAGTTTGACGGCGGCAACTTGGGTTTTCGTTGCGAATTAAACCCTCCACCGATTGCAGCAGCGCAAAGTCCCACAAATATCTTGGGAGTTGTAGTGGTGCTTGGGGGTAGCGTCGGGGCAATAGTTTGCCATCGTGGGCTGCCGTCTAACAAGACGGCATTCAGGGTCCGGCGGTCCATATGGACAAGCGTCAGGGAGATATCTGCTCGACTCTGCGGTGATGTACCACCAGCCCAGTACCTGTTTCTGCAGCGTGCGCTGGTCAGCCTTTGGGTCTTTCTTTCTCTCTGACGGTCTCAGAAAGCCTGCACCGGAACCCACGCTCATGGTCAGCCGGCATGTACATCCCGACGGGCGATCCTGGTTTCATCAGTGTACGTTAAACGTTATCTCCTCGGCTCTGATGCACGGCACCTTTATACATCCTACCGACTGCTTCGCAATGATATTTAAAGAGCAAGAGTAGGAGGACGCGACCCCGGCTGCCCACCATGAAGCTCGCCTTTGCGCTCATCTCGACCCTCGTCGGCGTGGCCGCCGCTTGTGGCGAGCACGCCGACGAGCACGACCACACTGGCCACCTGCACAAGCGCCTCTACCCGCAGACGCAGCTCACCCCGCCGTCCCGCCCGCTCGAATGGGGCGACGTGAATATCATCCACACCACTGACAGCCACGGCTGGCTGCTGGGGCACCAAAAGGCGTCCTTCCCCGAGCCGAACTACAGCGGGGACTTTGGCGATTTCGCCTCGTTCGTTGCGCATATGAAGGAGATCGCGCTGCGCAAGGGTGTCGACCTCCTCCTGGTGGACTCGGGCGACCTGCACGACGGGACGGGGCTCTCAGACGGGTACGGGCCCGGCGGCGTCGACGCGCACGACAGCAATGGGTTCATTGCCCAGCTGCCGTACGATGTCATGGCCATCGGGAACCATGAACTCTACGACTACGTGAACACGTACGACATGCACACGAACTTCGTACCGAAACTCAACGGGCGATATCTGTCCTCGAACGCGAACATCACGGTCTACGACAAGAATAACAACAGCGTCAGCGTCCCTGTCGGTGACCGGTACGCAAAGTTCAAGACGCTGAGAGGGCGGAAAGTAACCGCCTTGGGGGTACTGTTCGACTTCACCGGTAATGACGTGAATACGACCGTGCAGAAGGTGGAGGACATGGTCAAGGAGGCGTGGTTTGCGGACGCGATCCGCGACGAGCCCGACTTCTTCCTGCTTGCTGGGCACATGCCGGTGGCGCGAGACAAATGGCCAGTTGTCTTTGATGCGGTGCGCGCCGTGCACCCGCACACGCCGATCCTCATCCTTGGCGGGCACACGCATATACGGGACTGTAACCAGCCGGACGGGCGCTCCATGGCGTTGGAAAGCGGAAGGTATATGGAGACGGTCGGGTGGATGAGCGTGAACTTGGATAAGCCGGGCAGTACGGGGAACCTGACGTTCACGCGGCGATACCTCGACCCGAACCGCGTCACGTACCAGGTGAGTTGCCGCATTATCAGAGTATCTGTTTCTCAAAGCTGAAAGGTGTGATGCAGTATCATACATCAACGAGCAACAGCACGTTCGACACGGCGCAGGGCACAGCGATCACGCAAGGCCTCCTCGACCTCGCGCAGAAATACGATCTCTCGTACCAGTACGGCGTCGCGCCTCACGACTTCACGATCAGCCAGGCGCCCTATCCCTCCGAGAACTCCTCGCTCTCGCTCTTCATCCAGAAGGCGGCGCCCGTGGCCCTCACGATCAACAACACGCGCGCGGGCATCCCGAACATCATGATCACAAACTCGGGTTCGCAGCGCTTCGACGTGTACGCGGGGCCGTTTACGAAGAACGACCAGCTGACGGCGAGCCCGTACACGAACGCGTTCGTGTACATCCCCAATGTCACGTACGGCATAGCGAGCCAGGTGCTGCCCACGATGAACAAGGCGGGCGCGGAGCAGCGGAAGCGTGAGCTGTTGGAGGAATGGGAGGGGGAGCTGTATGGGAAGGGGGAGGTCGCGATGGTGTACCGCAGGTGGTTGCGGGAGATGGACGAGGTGGCGAAGAGGGAGGTGGGCAGGCGGGAGGCTGTGAATGGCACCCTGGGATATGTCACTCATGATGTGAGCGTGTCTCCTCTATGTCGTGTTTACCTCTTGTGAAGTCCTTCTAATTCACTCGTCCCTAGTCCTGCCCGGGCATCGGGGATGATACATACCACACCCCGCTGGCCTACTACGATACGCCGGACTTCATTGGCTCAGACGCACCGGCCAACATCAGTGCCTCTGACCCCATCGACCTGGTCTTCGTCAGTTTCAACGCGGACCAAGTACTGGAAACCCTGAATGCGCTTCAAACCGAAAAGAACTACACGAGAGCGGATATGTCTTCTTACACGCCCATACTGTCGAATGAGGTGTTGGGGCTCTATGCTGAGAGAGCCTGGAATTCTAGTAGCGGCAGTTCCCATTAACGACTTGGCCTCCGGTGCAAAATGGTGGTGTGTAGGACCGTGGCATCGTCGTATGGAATCCCGATTCTTGCGCCTTCTCGGGGCAGAGCGTGCATTAATTGCATGAACACCTGGGAGCGTTACGAATCCAGAGGTGCTATCGGCCACGCATCCATCTTATATCCTGACCTTTCCGAGTGAGAGGCGAAAGGTCAATAATGCAAGGCTTGGCTGAGTAGAGGGGGAAGGGGTTACCGTATCTTTAATTCAGGTTGTGGGCTACGCACATATGGCACTATAATCGTATCACAGTCTTGCAATAAGCATGACATTCCATCTTGTTCGAAGGTGTCTTGAGCATCCAAGACCATGCATTTACGTATACGTTGGCCCTTTGTGGCGGTATGAAAGGGAAGTCTAGGATTGGGACTCCGTTCCCAGCCTTTGCCCACGCTTCGGACGGCCCCGAACTTGAGCAGAAGCATCGAACCTCGGACGTTCACCCTAAGTACGCCCACCGATCCTGACGCGGACGCGGAGGACGGAGGAATATTCTTGCCTTCATCGCGACTTGAGACTCAGAGCGGCGGAATCAGCGTCTCCGGCATCACTCGGACCAGTCGGCTTTGACACAGATCACAGGCAGTGGCAACGCACGGCACGTTGAGGCGGTTTCATCACTCTACGATATTTAACGACTCTTACGCCCGTCACGGCACTCTCGTTCAATGGCTGCCCGACGACAAGCTTCGACGACGTCGCTCGCGAAGTATGCGCGAGCTAACTCGCCTGATCTTTCCCAGCGGTCGACCGACTTCTGCAACGCGTTCTGGGGACCTGGAGATGGCGGTGTCGATGTGCTGTTCGCGCGCATGCGCGGGGCGGCGAGGACGATGGAGGAACTGAGGAACTTCTGGAAAGAGAGGTGCGTCGGATGCGTGTGGCATGGATATCGGTGATGGCTGAGAGCATGCCGCATTAGAGCAGCGATTGAAGAGGATTACGCGAAGCGAATGGCCAAGTTGGCCAAGTTACCTCTGGGGAGGGATGAGATTGGGTGAGTATTGTACACTTTCTCACAAGTAACAGCTAACATTCATGGTCAGAGAGCTACGGAATTCATTGGACACGTTGCGGCTCGAAACAGACAAGCAAGCAGGATTTCACCTCCAGTTGGCCCAGCAGGTCCGCAACGATCTTGAGACGCAAACTGCCACCTTCTGCGCGCGGCAAGCGCATCACCGCAAGACCTTCCAGTCGGCGATCGAGAAGTCGTTCAAGGTGAAGCAGGTGCAGGAGCAACACGTCAACAAGGCGCGCGAAAAGTACGAAGCGGACTGCATGCGCATCAACGGGTACACTGCGCAGTCAACGCTAGTGCAGGGCAAGGACCTCGAGAAGATCCATCAGAAGCTTGAGCGCGTGCAGCAGACGGTGCAGGCCAATGAACGCGACTTTGCTAACTTTGCCAGGGCGCTTCAGGAGACGGCGCGGCAGTGGGAGCTTGACTGGAAAGCGTTCTGCGACAGCTGCCAGGATATGGAGGAAGAGCGGATGGATTTCATGAAGGATAATATGTGGGCGTACGCGAATGCAGTGTCAACCGTGTGCGTACATGACGACGAGGTGCGTCCGGTTTCTCATACTATACTACGTGCTACGTGTTGATCCATCATTGCTCGCAGTCCTGCGAGAAAATTCGCCTGTCGCTCGAACAGTTCGAAACTGAGAAAGACATGGAGAACTTTGTACGTGATTATGGCACGGGCTCGTCCATACCTGAACCACCGCCATTCATCAATTACACCGACCCCGACGCCGTTATGAACTCTTCTTCACGCCCAGTGAGCCACCCGGCTCGCTTTACGCGGTCAACGCAGCGGCGAGCAGGGCAGCAGCAAGCCCCACCGCCACAGCCCGAGGACGATGAACCACCAGTAAACACTGCTGGCCGCGGGGCAGGTGGAGGAAGGGCTGATACGAATGGGGTAAGTCGCAGCCAGACGCAGAGCCGCGCCAGCACCCGTGGGGACGGGGCGAGCGTGCGCCGGGCGGACACGACATCGTTCAGGCCTGCGAATGAGCCGCATGCGGAGCCTATCGACCCGACGAGCAAGACGATGATCAAGATCGGAGAGAACGCTTACGAGGTGGATCCTGCACAGGACCCGCAGCAGCAAGGACAGGGTTCGCGGCGGCAGATTCAGAATGGCGCACCGAAGCCTGGCGTGGGGGACGACAGCGATCCGCTCGCGCGGGCTATGGCGGAGCTGAAGACTCAGGCGGGGACGGTGCGCCGCATGCCTACTAGGAAGGACACGTCGGAGTCGCGGCATGGCCAGGCGGTAGGCCCGGGTTCGTCCTCGTCGAACGTCAACCTGACGGCGCCGCAGTCATCGAGCAACGTCAATGGAGGAGGCAGCAGCCGCGACAACCGATGGCGAAACTCTGCCGAGATGGTCGTGGGGTCATACCCGCTGGGTGCGTCGCCATCGCGTTCGACGTCACCGCATCCGCCGACAGCCGCGTTCATGAACCCGAACCGGCCACCATCTACAGTTGGAGATTCAGGCCTCCCAGTGGAGGATGTTCTTAAAGACTACCAGCAGAGCTTTCCTGGTGAGCGGAAGTCGCTGAGCCGCCAGAACAGTCGGCGCAGCAGCGTAAGTCAGAACATGACCGACCAGGGGCAGCGGATCGGCCGGCCGGTGAGCCGCGAAGGCCATGCTGGAATCGGCGCGCATGGGCGGAGCCCAAGCCCTGGGTTGCCCATCTCGAGAAGTGCGAGCCCGGCACTGGCACACGTTAATGACAGCCGGAACAGCCTCACTTCGCCTCCAAGCCAGGTTGGCAGGGCCGGGTCCACTTCCTCGAGTAATCGCGGTCCGCAACGTGCGACGAGTCCTAATCCGGTGGGAATTGCGCTGGACCCTAGTGGGAGGGTCGCTATGGATTCGATGGCGGATCGGTATGCAGCTGAGCAGCAGAGGAGGCAGCAGCCCATGCATCAGAGTTCGTTGCCTCCCCAACAGCCCCCACAGCAGAATTCTATACGCCGGACTAGCACTTACGTCTCCCCGACTAACGTACCGAATGGACAGCACCACCTCGGGTATGGGATCCCCCCGCCCCCGACAGGCCCGCCGCCGCCCGTGAATTACCAGCCACCACCGCACGTGCATCCGTCATACGGCCATCCCCAGCAGGTGTACCAGCCGCCGCCCCCGCAGCTGTACCAACCGCAGCCGCACATGGGCTACGGGAACACGCCAGCAGATATCCAGCGGGGCGCGTCGGTGTCGTACGGCGCACCGCCGTCGCATTTGCAGCAGCCTGCGGGATATGGCGAGTACGGCTACCGCGCGCCGAGCCCCGCTGCGCGGACGCCGTCGCCTCAGCCGCCGTCGCAGATGGTGCCGAATGGGCCGCCGCCGACGAACCAGTACACCGAAGAGGGCAAGCCAGTGTTGTTCTATGGTACGTCGCTAACTTTGCTGCATTCTTGTGGGGGCTAGGCTAACGGGGATTGTTTCCTGCCGTCGTAGTGAAAGCTCTGTTCGACTATCAAGCCACTATCGAGGAGGAGTTCGATTTCCAGGCCGGAGACGTCATCGCTGTAACTGCGACGCCCGAGGACGGGTGGTGGAGCGGCGAGCTACTGGACGAGGCGAGGAGGCAGCCCGGGAGGCATATCTTCCCCAGTAATTTCGTCTGTTTGTTCTAATAGGTCTAATCTGTGATCCACTCTTTCACTACCGCGTACGTTGATATGTGCCGAATGCTGTCATTTGTTGTGTTGGCTGTTATGTTACCCCCGCCCGGACTTATTAGTGCATATATCCCATACTTACTGTAGTCTGGTGTAGTACCCTTATGCGAAGAATAGCTGGCCTACACAGGCCTCTCTGGATCTGGTGATTCGCTCATCCCTCTCGCGAATCTGCGCACCTTCGAGTGGTAGATCTTCTTTGGCCTATTGGGGTGGCCAGAGTAGCTTCCTCTGCGACAACTTACTGCCGCTGCAGTTCTGCTCATCTACGTACCGTGACACTCTAATTAAATTAGTTACTAGCACTACAACGACGGCCCCTCGTAGAAAAGCTGCGAGACTCAAGCCCTCAGGACTGTTGGCATCGAGCACCTTTTCATTCCTGCTGATGATGCTATGTGCGCGTTCGACAAGAAGGTCAGTGGACAGCTCCGGGTCGTGGAGTAGTTTGACTATTAGCGTAGTGTTCAGTCAGAGCTGTCAAAGTAGAGGACGAGGAAACGGTGCGGTTGTTAGACATCATGAGCAGTACTATGTTCTTATTCCGCTGGCTCCCAAAAGTGGGGGCCGAGCAACAAGCGGGCAACGCCTGCAAAATAAACCTGTTCGTAGCTGTTGTGGCAGCTGGACTGACAGACGCCTACTATTCAAGGCTTAGGACCGGTCCACTAACAAATTGGAGACATACTGGCACCCACATGAGGCCTATCCGTATGCAATTGCTGTCAGATAGCGTGTATAACTTTTCGAGGCCTGGAGGTTCTGCTTTGAGGAGGGGCGAAATCGACCTCAAATCATATGGGCTAGGCGTGGGAACACCAGTTACGCATACCACCCACCATCTGAATCTGAATGGACCAGAATGGTCGATATGCGTGTGCAGCGCCTTTACTTGAGGAGGCTTTTGAAGCTATTCACGAATTATTTAGGGGGCGCGGTACCAAGCCTAATAATATGGGCTACCGCTCTGTCCAATGAGCTCCTTTCATGGACACTGCAAGATTCCCCAGTCGTACCAATCGCATCTCGAGTTCGTCGGCGAAGCAGATATCAGCTCGCAAGCGACCCTATAGCTAACACGGTGAGCTTCCCGAGGAAGAATTGTCCGATGGGACCGGTTCCCTCCAGAACCACTGGCAGATCTAAACACAGCTTCTAGTTCATAGGCCAATGAGAATACCGCGCTTGGCGGCGAATATCGAGACCTCCGCGGCGACCCAGGAAGGTTGGCCAATTTCTACAGTCACTATTACATACCTTGACCGAATAATCAGTACGCTGTCATGCATAGCAGCGCAGGCCAGGACGGCGTTCATACCGGTGACACCTGCAACAGGATGTAGCTGTGCGTTGACTGGCAGCGGCAGTCGTCGGTTCCGCGCCCCTGGTGTCTGCAAGCCCGCCCTTCTAGCGTACTCAATACTGATTGACCCGTAGCCTTCCAATTCCCCGGCAGACGATCTCTCCTCGAGTCTTTCTGGATCTCGGGGGATCTATTGCAACCACGTGTCCGGCTGGAGTCACCCAGTTCTCATATCGCTCGGAAGAATGGGATATTGGACCCCAATATACTCTAGATTTGCATCACCACAGGCGCGAGAACGTATATAATGGAGCGAGGCAATCGACAATTTGCTACATACATCTGCTCCCCAGCCCTCCGTGTCGGTTGAAGCACTCCGAGGCGGAGAGGCCTCGTTCCCTCATCATCGACCCTCCACAAACAAAAGCTGACAACGGAGCGTTCACGATCTCGACGACCCCGATATGACTGCTCTCACGACTCGCGACGCCTACGCCGGCATGCCCGTGCCAGAGCAGGCCATGTCCATCCTCACGAAACTCTTTGACGAAGCCGAAGTCCCGCCCGAAGTGCAAAACATAGCGCGAGCTACGGTGTTCACCGGGACATCCGAACCTATCGTAAGCTCCGGCCTCACATGCTACTCACCACGCCCAACTCACCATCCCTTTTGCAGCTCCCTCTTCCCCACAAGCACTTTGCCATTGCAGCCGCCCTGCAAGGCCTGTTCGGAGCCTTTGCGAGCCACATCCTCGCGACCCGCACAGACAAACCCCCGGCGACCGTTTCCGTCAACGCTGATCACGCAGGCCTCTCCCTCGCCGGACTGATGCTAGTCCAGGTGGACGGCAAACCCCTCTGCCAGGCGCTGAAGCAGATACCCAAGGTCCCAGCTGAGGTGCGTTCGACCATAGAACGCGCCACCACGAATTAACTTCGTTTGACCACGAATTAACTTCGTTTGGAACGTAGGACCCGTTATGGTACCTGCCCATCAAGTCCCTGGTATCTTCGGTATATCGATGCGCGGACGGCGCGTACTTCCACCCGCACGGCTCCCTAAACCCGCGCTTCACGATAGCGGCGATGGGCATTGACCCAGATCTCGACGCGGACCAGCAGGGCACGCGGGACGCCGTGCAGGCATTCGTGGGCCAGCGGTCTGCCGCGGAGATGCTGCAGTGGTCCATGCGCCTGGGCATCCCTGGTGACGGTGCGTGTCTTTACCGCTCCCCCCCCGATCTCGCAGAAGCACGGTCCCAGTACTCACCCACCCTTAACCTAAAGTTTGTCTGAAGCCGGAGGAGTTTGACGATAGCGACCACGTACGTGAACACAATAAGCGCCAGCCGGATTCGGCAGTGGGATTGACTGTTTCTTTCTTTGTCTCCTCGCGCCCAGGGCCGCGTTGCGTCCGCCTGGAAGCTCGTCACCCCGCATGCCCGCCTCGAGGACTTCACCCTATCGGTGCCGCTGTCAAAGGGCCCGGACGTCAGACGTCCGCTCGACGGAATCAAGGTCCGGTGCAGTTCCGCGTCCGCGTATGATTACCGCTGGGCTATTATGGCTAATGCGGTTGCGTTGCAGGTCGTCGAGATGACGCGGGTGCTCGCGGGGCCTGCCATCGGACGCCATCTGGCGGAGCTCGGCGCGACCGTCGTGCGCTTCATAGCACCCACTCTACCTGATTACGGATTCTACTTTCAGGTAGGCACATAGGTCGAATCGAACTGTCCGTTAGTGTTGGCGTGCTGATATTAAACCTCCGCAGCCGGACTGCAACTTGGGGAAACGCGCTGTGCACATCGACCGTACGTATGCGCCTACTCTTCCTTGAGAAACACTTGGGCTAATCCGATCTCGGCCTCGTCCCCTTAGTTCGCACCGAGAGGGGGAAGGCGCAGCTGAGACACCTGCTGCAGGACGCGGACGTCTTTGTGCACGGGTACAGACCGGGCGTAATCGAGCGTCTCGGATTCGGCAGCGAAGTGCTGAACCAGATTGCTGTGAAGCGTGGAAAGGGCTGTACGTCTGGATCCTCCCATCCCGATCCCGGCACGAGCTGCGTACTGACTCCCCCTGGGGCTTCTTCAGTTGTTATTGTCTCTGAGAACACTTATGGGCATGAGGGTCCGTGGGCATGGAGACCTGGCGTGCGTACAATTGTGCCTGTGCTATCCCGCGGAGGCTGTTGAGCTCATGTCGGCTCTTTTCATTTACCCGTGGACCTTCCATGGCTCTCTTTGCGACTTGGCATCCTGCAGTTCCAGCAAATCGCAGACGTAGTATCTGGTCTGGCTTGGGAAACAGGCGAGGCCTGCGGGCAGGACATGCCAATCGTGCCCTGCTGGCCTATCACCGGTACGTAGCTGCATTCCTCCTTCTAGTAGCGTTCCCCTCTAATCGGCCTTCCACTTTCGTCCGTCCGTCTTTCTAAACATTCTGGAATTTGTCATGGACGACCCTTCTCACAGATTACTGCACCGGGATCATGGGTGCCATCGCCGTCCTGCAGGGCCTGCTCAAGCGTGCCCGACTCGGTGGATCTTGGCACGCCCCCGTTTCTCTGCTGCAGTACGTGTTCACGTCTCTTGATCCTGCTCGGGACGCTGACTTGTACCGACTCGGATACACAGGTACACCCTCTTCGCACGCAAGCAGGGCCAGTACCCCCACGAATACGTTCGAGCACTGCATGCTGCCGGGCCTCGACACACGGGCGCGGACGCCATGCCCGCTATGACCGCGGCGTGAGTACCTCCCTTCCTCTTCTCCCTCCCCGATCTCAACACCCGACTCTCGGCAGTCAGATCGCCCACCTGCAGGAAGACTACCCGGGCTTGTTCGACCCCTCGTTCTTCGAAACATCGGGGTCGTCCTACGGCACGATCCGCCACCTGAAGCGCGTGGTCCGGTTCGTCCAAGACGACGAGGTGCCCAGTGGGTTTGGATACAGCCCTGCCTGGGGGGAGAGTAAGGTTGGGTGGAATGATGATGACGCGGAGGTGCTGGAGGCTGAGGTGAGTCGCCAGGTTCAAATTACCCGGTGTGCAGGACGTACTGATTTCTTCTTCGGGGCATCTAGCTTCAGCGAGCCGGGTTGTAACACGGTTTTGGATCATTGAAATCGCCTGTATCGCACGATTGGTTTGTGCTTGTGCCTGTTGATGTATCCCTAGGGCTGGAATCGGAGCCGCATACTATACACCCATAGACGGTATGCTTATATCCTCCCTTAAACTTAACTATATAGACCATTCTTGGATTATTAGCGTTGTCTTCTTGGATAGTAGCATGCACAACATTCTCTTGATATTCTCTCGGACTGTCCTGCCGTCCATGGTGCAGGTCACTGGGACAACACATCTGGCCGAGGCTTCTTTTGAGATGGGCTTCCAGAAGTTGTCCAGAACGCAATGACTAGCCGGCTACCAGGCGATGACATTGTCAGGGGATTGAGGAACGTTTGGCCAGCTGAGCTGACGGGGAAAGGAGTGGGAAGGACAGACGCCCGATTCATGATTTTTTCTGCATCTATGCACACCCCGATCCACCAAATAGGAATGATTGCGGCAGTGGGATAACATTGTCGATGATACGATATTTCACTACCGAATTCACGACTGAAGTTATTGGTTCATTTTAGGAACTGCCATTCGTAGAATTCCAGGCTCTCTCAGCATAAAGCCCTAGCACCTCATTTGCTAGTATGGGTGTGTAGGAAGATACGTCTGCCGTCGTGTAGTTCTTTTCGTTTTGAACCGTATTAAGAATCCCCAGAAGCTGGTCCTCGATGAAGTCGACGAATACAAGGTCAACGGGGTCCGAGGCACTGATATTGGCCGGTGCGTTCGAGCCAATGAAGTCTGGAGAATCGTAGTAGGGCAGCGCAGTGTGGTATGTGTCGTCTCCGACACCTGGGCAAGACTACGCACGAGAGAAAATCATTGATAAGCAGAACAGGGCGTAGAGAATATATGCTCACGTCGTGCGTAACATATCCCAGGGTGCCATTCACCGTCGCCCGCCTGCTCATTTCCCTCTTCGCCTGCTCATCCATCTCCCTCAGCCACCTGCGGTATACCATCTCGACTTCTCCCCTCCCATACATCTCCCTCTCCCTCTCCTCCAACAATTTCCCCAGCGCCAGCCCGCTCCTGAGCCCGCGCTTCCGCTCCTCCGCGCCCTGGTTGTTAAGCGCGGGCAGCACCTGGCTCGCGACGCTGTACGTGACGTTCGGGATGTACATGAACGCGTCCGTGAAGGGGCTCGCCGTCAGCTGGTCGTTCTTCGTGAACGGCCCCGCATACACGTCGAAGCGCTGTGAGCCCGAGTTCGTGATCATGATATTCGGGACGCCCGCGCGCGTGTTGTTGATCGTGAGCGCGACGGGCGCGGCCTTCTGGATGAAGAGCGAGAGCGAGGAGTTCTCGGACGGGTAGGGCGCCTGGCTGATCGTGAAATCATGCGGTGCGACGCCGTACTGGTACGAGAGGTCGTACTCCTCCGCTAAGTCCAGGAGACCCTGGGTGATCGACTTTCCGTGGGCCGTGTCGAACGTCCAGTTGCTAGTCAAAGTGTGATACTGCATCGCGTTCTCAGCGGGAAGAACGGGTCTGTAGGTTTTACGGCAACTCACCTGATACGTGACGCGATTTGGATCGAGGTATCTCCGCGTGAACGTCAAGTTCCCCGTGCTCCCTGGCTTGTCCAAGTTAACACTCATCCACCCGACCGTCTCCATGTACCTCCCGCTCTCCAGTGCCATTGAGCGTCCGTCGGGCTGGTTGCAATCCCGGATATGTGTGTGCCCACCGAGAATGATGATCGGCGTGTGCGGGTGCACGGCGCGCACCGCGTTGAAAACAACCGGCCACTTATCCCTCGACACCGGCATGTGCCCTACGAGCAGGAAGAAGTCGGGCTCGTCTTGAATCGCCTGCGCGAACCACGCCTCCTTGACCATATCCTCCACCTTCTGCACGGTCGTATTCACGTCATTGCCCGTAAAGTCGTACAGCACGCCCAGCGCCGTCACCTTCCGGCCCAGCAGCGTCTTGAACTTGGCGAAGCGGTTGCCGACGGGGACGCTCACGCTGTTGTTGTTCTTGTCGTAGACGGTGATGTTGACGTTCGAGGAGAGGTACCGCCCGTGGAGCTTCGGCACGAAGTTCGTGTACATGTCGTACGTGTTCGCGTAGATGTACAGCTCATGGTTCCCGATGGCCATCACGTCGTACGGCAGCTGCGCGATGAACTGGTTGGTATCGTGCGCGTCCACCCCGCCGGGTGGGAACCCGTCCGACAGCCCCGTCCCGTCGTGCAGGTCGCCCGAGTCCACCAGGAGGAGGTCGACACCCTTGAGCAACGCGATCTCCTTCATGTGCGCGACGAAGGACGCAAAGTCGCCAAAGTCGCCGCTATAGTTCGGCTCGGGAAAGGACGCCTTTTGGTGCCCCAGCAGCCAGCCGTGGCTGTCGGTCGTGTGGATGATGTTCAGGTTGCCCCATTCGAGCGGGCGGCTCGGCGGGGTGAGCTGCGTCTGCGGGTAGAGGCGCTTGTGCAGGTGGCCAGCGTGGTCGTGGTCGTGGTCATCGCCGCAACCAGCAGCCAGGCCGACGAGCGTCGAAATGAGCGCAAAGGCGAGCTTCATGGTGGGCAGCCGGGGTTCGCATTCTCGTATCCTTGCTCTTTAAATATCATGGCGAAGCAATAAAACTCGGAGGATGGGTAAGGTACCGCGTGCAAATGTCCATCAGAATTGGAGAGATAACGTTGCACTGATGCAGCCTGGGATCGTCCGTCAGGAAGGCCACGAACGTGGGTTATGTCGCAGGCCGCCAGAACACAAATAAAGGACAGCGGATGACATATTTGACAAACGCGGGCAGAGGATAGAGGTAGAGCACTGGCTTGGTGGTATGTTAGACCAGTCTGAGTTATCTCCCTTGACGCTCGCCCATATGGACTGCATATATTGCCGGACCCTGAATACCTATTGTTAGGTATCGGCCACGATAGTCATCTGGCAGCATGAGAAACCACCTCTCCTCCACCCGCAGAATCGAAAGCGTCTCCCAAGTGATTTAGAGTCTTTCGGCGCTTGCGCAATGGTACAGGAGACCATCATGATTTTGCTGTCATTGACACTGAACGGATATCCGAGTTCTGACGGCGCTGTCGACAGCCAGCGCAGGAGAGGACGTAGACCGGGTTCGCTTCGTCGTTGGCGAGGCTGGAGGGAGAAAGGGGGGCGAAGGGTTGGGGTATCTGCAGTCAGACGTGCGCAGTTGAATGTCGCTTTTCACGATATATCAGTGACATATCCGAAACAGGCAGCGCCATTGCCAAAATGGGATCCAACAGACTCGAGAAGTTGAAGAGCGCAAAAGCTCGAATATCATGATTACTGCGAGACAGTCCAAGAATCATGAATGTGATATACAGGGATGAAGCAAGATGAACTGGATGACCGTCGTGCAAGCCAACGTAGGCGAGAGGACGACGCTGGGTGCTGGTGGTAGCAGTGATTGAGCTGGACACGTTGGTACGTTCTGTGCTTGTTATACGCGACGGGGTGCTGATGTTTCTCGAGGTGATATGGTAAAGCGTTCAGGCTCGTCGCAAACGTTGCTGCTGGAGTGCTGCGACTCAGTGTGTAAAGACGAGCCCGTGATCAACTATCATCAACTTTTACTGTGTTCAATCGCGTTCTATCGTTGTCCTCGACGTGCATAGACCCTTTCAAGTCCCCATGCGCTGTGCGCTCTCGCGATACATCGACCTGACTCGAGTGAGTGCAGTACTAGTACGCCGACACCGCTCCGCTGTATACCTCCTTTCGACGTCCTCGCCGCCCTCTCTGCACCGTCTCATCGGTCCTCTTCCACTTTCTAGCCTCGTGCCTCTACTTCTAGTTCTCCTACCTCGTGGTTTACCGAGCCCGTCCTTACCTCGTCTCCTGAACACCTCTGCCCCGGCTTGTGCCTTGTCCTCTGGCAATCCCTGCACTTGCACACCTTCCTCTCCCCGGACGTGGTGTTAGCTTGTTTGCCTTCGAGCACTCGGGCTGATCGTGAACGGTCGGAAGCAAGAGACATGGGGGCGAGTCCAAAGTGAAACACATTCAGTGAGCACCTCCCCCCGCAGACCCCGTATATTTGCTCGGCAATGACAGCCGAGGCTCAGGGCTAGCCGCTGGACCAAACAATGACAAGTCCAAAGTTCCACCGTCGGTTCCTCAACTGCTCCGTGTTGGTGTGAAGTTCCTTCTGCACTTCTATATATTCATTCATTCCATGTGCCCCCAGCTCGGTCGACCTCCGACCCTCCACGTCATCGCGACTGCTTCGCGACGGACGATTACCTATGTGTCTATTCGTGCAGTCTCCTCTACCGAGCCACTACATTCGCTTGAAGCTCGACCTTCCAGGCTAGATCGAGCTTCTCTGATGTAAGACGCTGATATCTGCATTCATGATAGCAGTCTTCTACATAATCTCGGGCTACAATGACGGTCGAGTCTACGATGGGGAGACGTTGTTTGAATAACCTCCAACCCTCCACGTCATTGCACCTGCGTTGTGGCTGGCGATTACTTGAGGCTATCCGTGCCGTCTCCCCTTCTCGCGACTCGGTTGCTCCATCCGCCCGAAACTTGACTTTCCAGACAGGACGGGGCTCTATTGGAATAAGAAACTGATTTCTGCATTCATGATAACAGTCTTGCAGCTGGGTTCTGGGTACAAGAGCGTCACAACGGTCCCAAAACCAGCATGGAAGTACCTACTGTCCGCCCCAAAACTACCCAACCAGAATGCTACTTCGCTAACATTTGTCCATAAACGAGACGTGTGGGCAAGCCGCCGCAGGTATAAATAATGGTCGACGCGAGGTCCCTCCAGACCATTTCTCTAGTTACACGGTACTGCTCCAAGCACTACTCTGACTGTAGCAGAGTTTGACCCGGAACTCAGCACAAAGTCTTGATCTTTGAACCCCCATCGCCCAAATCTAAAATGCCCACCTTGAAAAACAAAATCGGACCAAGTATGCGCATCCGGTCTCAGTCGCTGTCGCCTTGACACGCGATACTCATAGCTCGCCCTTTCAGTCGCGGGCGCCCCTCCTTCGGAGGTTATATTGCCTGAATATGTCTACTTCAAAAACCCGGCTGGTCAGTACCTCAAACATTTGCCCAACAAGATTGGCTGGTACGGCCTCAAGTGGGAGCCAACCCAGCCCGATCTCAATACCCGTTTCAAGATCATTCAAATCCCTAACCATCCTGTGCGCCGTTCCATGTCTGTCTGAATTACAACACTGATGTCGAATTCTAGGGGAAATTCTATGCTACAGGTCCTTCCGCGACGTACTACACCGCCGCTTTGTATTACAAGCGGTCTGGAGATACCAAGTACTACGACTCTGACCAGCAGACGATGCCCTCGAACGCCCCGAACCCGAACCCCGACTTTGTCTGGCGCATCGTCTCCCTGGGTGGGAACGACATCTACCTCATCCGTGATGCGACGTACGACAGCGAGACTGTCTTCTTCAGTAACCACGACAACCGGCGTTACAAGCTCTGGGACCACAACGACAATTCCTGGCTCGATGTCGTCCGCGCAACCACCTACGCCAACGATTCGAACAGAATTAAAGTCGAGCGTGCAGCAGTCAAGACTGAGGTGTATGACGTCAAGTATAAGGTCGACGATGCAGATCTGGTCGAGCTCAACCCGACGGTTGCGATTGAGAAAGTGTTGGAGAACAATACAGGCTCTGAGGGGTCTCAGAGTGTCTCCTACACTTACACGAAGAGCGACGAGGGGAACTGGAACAACGTCGCCGGAATCGAATTGGGTCAATCGGTCCGTCACAATCCCCCGTTCTCATCGTCATGGTTGTGATATGTTTCCTGCTTCATATCAGTTCACGTTCAAAGCTGAAGTGCCTTTCATCGCTTCGACCGAGATAGGAATTTCCTTCACAGAGTCTTACCAACACGAATGGGGTGGGTCGACCATTGAGTCCACCTCGGTCACCACCTCGACCAACATCACTGTCCCTGCGCACACCACTATCAAGTTGACTGTGTTGATCTACAAGACTCAGCTCAACATCCCGTTCACCTACACGGTCTGTCTTACTGTACACCCGCCTCTGGAATATGTGCTGACCTGCACTCCAGGAGAGGATTACTCTGTACGACGGAACGTCTGTCGAGAACAAGAACAAGGAGGGCATTTATTATAATGTCCAGTTCATCAAAGACCATGCGACCACTGACATTATCGAGAGGAAGTGAAGGCCTTGGCGGGCTGGTAGCCGCCATGAGAGCTCCGGGAAGATGAAGCCCTTTCAGCTCTCAGAAGTGCAAACATTGTAAGAGGATGTGTGTATTCTTCATCAAATGAATTGTTGTACTAGGTTGTATCATTATACACAATCCTGTCCTGCGTCCAGGAACTATGTTGAATAATCTGACCCCTTGATGAGACAGTACCGTGGATTCCTCCGATTCCCCAAGAATCGGTAGTATCTTCAGTGGATAGCACTCTCTGGCATGCGTGGTACCTATCAACAGGGGCTATTTCTCGCAAGGGAGATTCCCCAACCACGATTTTCTTTCCTGTGTATGTCGCGATCGGCATGTCTGACACCTGCGGCGGCCTGCTCCTAATGTAAAATGTGTATAGCCATGTAAGCATTGTATTTTCTGCCCATCGAACATTCAGATCTATACAGTGAACTGCTTATGTAATGCACAACCCCTTTGCGACATGTATTTGGGCCATAACTCATGAACTATTGCATATTTCTCTTTGGTGTAAAGACAAAGATTGTAGTAGTTTGTGAGCTCTATCTAACTGTGTGAACATTGTCAAGAGCGAAGTTGATCTTGTTTTACTAGGAGGCATTCAATATTTATAGTCAAAATCTATCTTCACAAAGCAAGGGGGGAGGTATAAAATGACTACACAGTAGAAATTTCCATGAAATTCTGTGTATTTTATAGCCCAGGAAATTGACCACATGGTTGCAGAGATACGAGGCCAGAAAGTTGGGATTTTGGTGTAAGATTTCAGAGTTTAACACCAAAACCCCCAACTTTCTGCACACATATCTCCACATTGGTGTAGTCAATCAGGGATGTTCCAGGGTCGAAATTTCGAGCTCTTTCTAGCTATCAGAACCATTGGAGGGAGATTTACACATAGTTTAAAACCAGTCCCCATTGTATTTGGCCTCGTTTTCAGCCATACTGTATGATTTCAATCTATTCGGCAGTCACACATCACAGGGGTACCTGCCGAAGACGAAATCTGGCGTTTGTCACCGGTCACAGGGCCTCTGGGATGGTAGAAATTACCATATATGGTATTAAAAGCTGGCCTGCGGCGCCACTTCGCACCATATATAGTAAGATGCCGAAATGACGAATCGGTCAGATGAGTCACACGTCACACCGCCTGCCGAATAGATCGAAATGGTACAGTAATACAGCAGAATGTGTTGGTAATACTATCATGATGTAGAGGGAAAGCAGCACTACAAGTCTACATTTCACACCAAAGAGAAATATGCAATTGTTGCTGAGATACAAGTTGTGCAAGGGTGGTGCAATATTTTTGCGGTTCACTGTATCTAAAAGCGATCGAGTAGTGCTACTTTTGGTACTGGTTGGTTAATGTTCATTTTATGGTCCACACAAGAGTGGAAATCGCAGCACGACTGTCAACGACGCTAGCGCTCGGAGCGCTAGCGTCGTTGACAGTGGGTGTGTGATTTAGCCATGAAAATACATTTCGATGCCGCGCAGCGCCCAGCAAGCTAGTAAAATAAAGCCCGGAGGGTGCTGATAATATTTACTATCTCTAGTAGACTCTCAGACCTCCCGGGGGAATCGTTCCCTGGCGTGCCGCGCAGCGCCGATAATCCTCAAGTAATTTATCGTAGCGGCAGCCGGGGCCGGTCGAGGTGGCTCATTTATCAGCGTCGCCGACGGGGCCTCACTAGATTACAAGGCGAGCCTCTCGAACTACCAAACGGCGAACCAATAGGAAGCTCCGTCCGAATGTGCATGACCGATGCTTTCGTGGATCGATGGTGATGCAGATGAGTTGTAGATAGTGGAGTGCTACGTTGGGCGAGACCTTTGCAAGAGATGGAGGATCATGATTATTGCCAGTGTTACAAAGTTGTGATGCCATGACAGGAGCAAACGAGTCAGTTGTAATACGGCAGACCCTTTAATCAGCCCTCCCCTCCTCCTCACGCTCAGCACAACCTTGAACCTTCGCATTATTGCAAGACTTCTTCACCTTCCGCCGGGGAAGGTTGTCTTTCCTGGGTCCGTGGTACGAGACGCGATCCTCGGGCCAGGTATACGTGATGACCGCCGTGCCAGCCGACGTAGGCGGCAGGACGATGCGCAGCGAATGCTTGCGAGACGGGGTGGGGCGCGCGGCTTGGGCGCAGCATACGCGCAGGGTGCGGGTAGTAGTGATGGTGGTGGAAGTGGTAGCAGTGATCGAGGTAGACATGCTGTTGACCTTGCGTTTGTATGCGCGAGGGGGTGGGGACTATAGCTTCGCGTAGCGAGAGGAGGATGATTGCTAATGTGGCTGAGTGGTTAAACTGGTCGCTCGAACGGTGTGATCGGACAAGCGTTCAGGTGGCGAACTTTGACTGGGCAATAAGAGCGACGAGAGCGAGGACCCGAGTGGGTCGAGTGGGAGTGAGAGTACGAGTCGAAGTTGCGATGCCCCATCCACCCCAAAACCATAGCGCTTTTATACCTTTCAGCACCTCCTCCCCAAACGGGACTCGGGAAGCAGGCCGGGCGGAATTGCAAGCGCCCCGTCGAGCCAGTCCGGGACGCAATTCAGCGCGCGCGCGGCGCCAGCGATGCGCCAGGCCGCTTCCGAACCGGCCTGGCATGCGCGGGCCTGAGCTGGCAGCGGGGAGGGACGTCAGTCCGCTGGGATCGCGCCTGTGCAGGAAGACTCGTTGAGCTTTCTCCGAGGAGATCTGGTATTATACCGCGGACATCAGCCTTATTCGATAGACGCACTCTGAATCATGCATTCTATCCAATAAAGCGGACGTGTCCGACAATTGTATGTTCATCGTCCTAAGTAGAAGACTTCGTATCGGGTTGCAAGAATGTAGGTGACTGCAGGGACCGAGCGTACGAGTCGGCGAGGATTGATAGTCGTCCATCACAATGGCAGAAGAGGCATCTGTTGTCGAAGCCTTGAGGACTGCGCATCACACGGGAGACAGCAAAGCATAAGATAGCGCCTTACAAAAGTCTCATTTCGGGGCAAGGAGCGGGAGATCCGTTTACAACTGGCTGGCGGCACCTAGCGTATAGATATACGCCACCCTATATTTCTCGTGTCGCTTCTCTGAGGAGATGTGGTATACAGCGGACGTCAGTCGATCTCTCTGGAGTTGGGATCGCCCAGTCCTGATATTTCTTGTGCATCGCTCCTTGACCGCCAGAAATCCATGCGCCGCTGACGGACTGGACCGAAGGAATCAGTCAGTGACCAAGTCGCCCCTTCGGACGGGGGTACTCGTTGTGGCGGGGAGGTCGGGCGACCATACTCAGCTAATTCGACGCCACCTGCTATGTAGATAGATGTCTGTTACCGACCCCCTGCCTCTGGACTGTCGCATGGGAACAGGACGGTCGAAGCCAAATGAAACGATGCGAGGGAAGTCACGGCCGCGTATCCTCCTCGCCATTAGTCCAGTGTTTAACCGTGAAGAATATACGCAATCGATGCAATCCTCGACCTGAAACACATTGCAGGTAGACATTAGCTTTGACTTACGTGTCGTGTGTGTAGCGACGTGAAATACACCAACAGGCACGTTGCTGATAACCTGACCGTATGAGGAAGCCTTGTCCCTAGACGCGGTATAAGTGGATTGTGTACAGCACGGTCGATCCCGCATTTCAGCCCGTGAACCTTGAACCAGAGAGACTAGTTATGAGGTTGACCTTGGTAGGGAATGTTGATTTCGCAGCTAGGAACGGTGGGGTACGCTGACGAAAGCCTCCACGAGCTTAACCGATCATGAAGCCTTGAAGACCCGATCAATGGATGCGATATCATGCCTCCTTGCTGTGATAGGGTGCCTACGCCTTTGATTGAAAATGGGAATATAACCTCGTTTTATTTGACAGACACGGAGCAGCAGAAAGGCAATTCGAGGTCAAACGTCCTCCAGCCGATACACGTCGTACGCGACCTCCTCATACGGGTGCACCTATAAATCGTTACCTGCACCAATAACACAATGGTCTCACATACAAGCACGACGTACCTCCTTCAACGCACCAAGCACCTCCCTGATCTCCTTCTTGTCCCCTCCATCATTCACCACCATTTCCACCCTGTCTTCTTCCACGAACTCAAGCTCGCCCGGCTTACCGATCGCGGGGTTCGCTTCTGCGGTCGGCTTGAACTGGCCTGATACTAGCGTCGGATTGCATTCCCTTAATATTTGACTGGGACCTCAGGCTAACCGGTACCGCGGGAGACGAACGCGCACTGCTCGTACGCGCCGATCTTGCCTAGCGTTTGCGGGTGCCGAGCGAAGAGCTGGTCAAGGATAGTGCGCGTCGAGGAGGCCGGGGTGAAGAAGACGAGCTTGAAGCGGACGGGGGGCATGCTTTCCTCGGAAATGGTTCTACTGTAGACGCGGTATCGTAACGAATGTATTCAAGTGTGCGAAGGGTGCGGATGATGGCCGTGAGCAAGACGCGTCCTGCTAAGCGCCTGTGGCCACCACGTCTGCTCATCCCTGCCCGACGCTTCCATCAGAGCCGAAACACAAAAGTACGGCAAATAAATCATCTGTACCAGCTTCAGGCCAGGCGCACGATGAACCTTTCCTTGTATACCATCTCCGCCTTCATCATCCTGGACAGCGATGGCCACCGCGTCCTTGCCAAGTACTACCGCCCAAAGAGCCATCCGCAGGGCGAGAGCAAGTCATTACTCACCTTGAAAGAGCAAAGAGCATTTGAGAAGGGCTTGTTTGCCAAGACGAAAAAGCCGACAGGTGCGCCCAGCTGAGTCTTCCTAGTGTCATCCGTTTGGCTTACAACTGGCCGGCAACCCCTGCTCTCTGCATATGGATACAAATCATCTGTATCATTCTTTGAATAACGATACTCTACTTATGAAGGCGATATCATCCTCTACGACTCCCACCTCTGTGTCTACAAGCACTCGCTCGACCTGATCATGTACCTGGTCTCCCCGCCCGAAGAGAACGAGCTCATGGTCCACTACGCGCTGTCCGCCTTCTCCGACGCACTGCACATGCTACTCCGGAACCAGGTCGAGAAGCGTGGCGTGCTTGAGAACCTCGACTTGGTGCTGCTGTGTCTAGACGAGACCATTGATGACGGGTGCGTTTCTTAAGCCCTCCTGTACGCCCCTCCCTCCCCTGCATCCCTTCTACACTCCTTTATCATCTTTGTGACAGATTGGCTGATACGGATCTTCACCCAGAATCATCGTCGAGACAGATTCGACAACCATCGCGTCCCGCGTCTCGCGACCCAGAGCAGACACGACAGAGATCGTCATCAACGAGCAGACGATCATGAACGCGTACCAGACCGTCAAGGAGCAGATGAAGCAGCGCATCGGGCAGTTCTAGATTCCCTTCCCCTTCCTCTCCTCCTTCTGTGTTGCAAGTGTCGTAAGGGTACTTTATTTATTGACGGATCCTCTCCCTGCTTTTGCGCGTACTCCCGTCAGATGGATGACCATTTCCTGCCACTTACAGCGTACCCAAGCTGTATTCCCGTTCAAACCTGGACGCTGCTGCTGTAATCTGGTCACCTTCACGATTGTGACATGGGTGCTATAATGATCTCCTAGCCAAACTACATGCGGCCGCCAAAACGCATACAAGGGCGGTGTTTCTCGGGATGCCTGCCGACTCAATCAGCATCATCCGAGCTTACCAGTCATAAGGTGCGCAGACCGTGGAGGCATCACAAGCCGCATTTGCTAACTTTTGGTGTAGGTCATGTAGTGCACTTAGATCTCGATCCGTCTGCCGCCACTTCTCACATACCTTTCCGAGCTGATGTCGTCCATAGCAATAAAGAAAACTGGAACCCCTCACATAGCGCGAGATGCATGCCATAGACGAGGGGCGGCGTACTAGCACCTTCGCTGGCAAGTCGGCCTCCGGCTCAGTAGCTGGTGCAATGCTTCTGCCTAGGTGTCCGCTAAGCATAGCTGATCGTCTCTGGGAAAGGAGGCGTGTCGAAACGCACTCGCTGGCCTTGGGCGGTGCGCTACAGGAGGAACGGGACAATCAAATGGGAGGAATGTCCACGTACCACGACATTTGATCGCCTGTCACCTCAGCTTTGCTATATCCTCGATTGGGCTCCTGGCCGTACCTCCCGGCGGCCCTATTGCATCAGCTAAGTGCACGCACATTCTTGTACGCAGTGTAACGATAGGTCTCGGGCCTTAGTAATGAACCATGAACCATTGCTCTGCACTATCACTTCCATTAAGACTTCTGCATGCCACGACACTCTACAACAACACACGAATCATCTCCCGAAGGGGGGGGGGGGGGCGGCTAGTAAACTCTGACATGTGTGAGCATGTTTGAGACCAGGTCAAAGTTCTCGCTGGTAACGAGTCGGGTGAAGGCGCCGTCGTCGCGGGCAGGCTTGGCGTTGTACAACTCGGCCGCCGCCGCCATGTGATGCACGCGCGCAAACGCGGCGTGGATGCGGAGGTACTTGGGGTTGGGAACAGGGATAGCCTGATTGCCCATGAACGACGGCTGGAATTCGACGTCGAGCACTCTCTGCCCGTTGCCGAAGGAACCTTTCTCGGGAAGCCATATGGCTTTGTAGTGGTTTGATTGGCCCTCGATCTGCCTTGAGTGAGCGAGAGCACGCAGTACAAAACAGCAATCCCTCACCTCGTCGAGACAAAATTGCAAGGACCCGAAAAGAGGTGCTCGTCTCGGGTCATAAAGATGGCGTTTTCAGGGGAATTAATGGTCTCCCTAATATTGACGCCGGTCCAATGGTGGAGCATATCCCAGGTAATCGCGGGATCCTGTGATGAAGTCAGCATATTCTTGGCCAGAGAGACGAGCAAAGGAGCCCAACATGTAAGCGATTTTCGTGGAATTCATTGAGAGAGAATGGAAGGATGTGTGCTGCATGCATTACAGCACTGGGTTCGGCCGGGGGATTCACTCGTTGCTCACTCGTTGCGACACCACACTTCTGTCCAACACGCGTGATTGCACAGCGGTCATTTTCCCGGGTAGCCACCTATTTCGCGAGGTTGACGCGATTCATTGGGCAACACTCACATCACACACCTGTTTTCGCAGGTCATCCTGTATTGATCGAGTGGCGGACTCTATATGCCAACGGCAGTTGCGTCGAGAGTAGGAGTCTGACTGCTGCTAGGATTCGATGATGGGTACTATCCTGCCGCGCAAGTGCCTTGACTACTGTCCATTGGTAGAGCAAAAAGAACATGCCGTGCCAGAACTCACATGGTCTCATAAGGTAGTCCCACCAAGCTTGAGCTGCATTAGCCACTTCCTCAGGCCCTTTCTCGTCTTGGACGTGAATGACGATAGCCACATATCGACGTCCGTCCTCATGAGGTGCATACATGAGCATCCCTCGTAGAAAAGCTGCGAGACTCTAAGCCCTCAGGACTGTTGGCATCGAGCACCTTTTCATTCCTGCTGATGATGCTATGTGCGCGTTCGACAAGAAGGTCAGTGGACCGCTCCGCGTCGTCGAACAGTTGACTATAGTGCTCAGTCTTCCACGACAGAACAGACGAGTCAGACGGAGCTCTCCGAGTCAAGGTAGGGGAGGAAGAATTGGTGTGGCTGTGAGACATATGGTGAGCACAGAGCAGAGGACGTCCGACGGGCAGAAAGTATATGACCAAACCAGACAAGGTGGCATAGGGCAGACCTTTCGCAAAACCTTGGGCAATTGCCCAGAATTATTGCAAAGGGGTTAGGTAGCGACAGCATGTGTGACACAGTGACAGCATTTCCTTGCAGTAGCTGTAAATAGGGCTCATTCCTCTTACTGCCGGTGCACCCTACTCCGGTTACGATCACAGGCTGTTCCCCTCCCTGTCCATGTAAAATAAATTTCTGACCGGTGCTTCACTCTGCTAGGTAGAATGGAGGACGTTGGCTGAATGTGGCGTCCCGAGTTTAGTCGGGGTGTGCACAAAGATAGAGCGGAAGGGAAGGGAAGGGAAGGAAGAATACAACCGTCCGGTACAGGGGGAGCCAATCCGGTGCTAGGGTATCCTGGTACGGAGTATGGGCGTCTAGATGCGACGTCGGTGCGATGATCGTCAGATATGATTGTCGTGATACACTATGCAAACAACATCTACCCCAGCGGACTCCGGAGGCCGCAATGCAAAACGAAACAGACAGCATAGAGTGATCTTCAAAACAGTAAGCACAATACAGACAATAAATAGCAAGGCGTGGTGTGGTGAGGTGAGTGGATGGGTGTATGCATACAAGTTGAGTCCGTGTTGAATGAGAAACGACGCCGAACCCGACCTCCGCCCGAGTTGAGTCGGGAATAAACCAAACGACGCGTGTGCGGGGCGCATCGATAAATATCTGAAGCTTTTGATTCCATCCCCAGCCCTCCGAACGGCGCTCGGCGCGCCCATTGACAACGACAGGATGCGTCGCGTCCCGAAGATCTTCATCGGCAAGACGTCCCGATGGCCATTCTATTCACTCACGACGCCGATGGAGTCAGAGTGGCGTTGCTGCACTGGCCCGGGCGGGTGAATACCCAATGCTACATACGAAGGACAAGCACGTGAACACGAACCTGTCTTTCGCTGCGGAGCCCGCGCTGGTGGTCATAAACTTGAACGCGGCGAAGGTGGAGGCGGCGACGAGCGCGAGGCCCTCGACGGCGAGGATGAGCGCGTTGCGCGGCTCGGGGGAGTAGGTGAAGTCCGGGTGCTCGTACACTTTCATTGACCGCATCTCGGGCTGAGCGATGAAAACGAAGACAAAGACAAGAGCCAGCACCTCGCGCGAGGCTTATAACGCCAGCCTCAGCCATCGATCACAATCAGCCCGCCTGCATTGTGGCCGCGACCGCAGAGCGTGCTCGTCGGCGGACAGCCCCTGCCCCCGGACGAGCGAATCAGCGCGCGCGTTCGCATCATTCCAGCGGCCGCACGCGCCCACATCCGGTCTTGTGCCCCCCGCTAGTCCCGTTCCAGCTCAGACATTATGTAATCGGCGAGCAGGTCTCGGCGAGCATACAAGATGTGTTCCGTGTTATTGTCGGAACCGGTGAAACGGAGACATCGCGGATCCTGTGTCGCCCCGTGTCAAACGCCAATCAGTTATCGTCCTGCGATGTGGACGGCTTGCTCTTAGTCTTAGATCGTGATGGGGCACTTGGTTGTATGTAGCAGCAATGCCCCGACCGAAACGGAATTGGACAGTATAGTGGTCACGCCAGCACTGTTCTATTTGTACTTGCACATACACCAAACAATAGTAATAATACACCCACTCAATCGACGAGTCACACCCCCCTCAATACGAAACCGACCGCCCCCGCACAAAACTCGCCACCCTCACCGGCTGGCGCACGGGGCTGCTCCGCGACCACGCAGGCTCCGGCGACGGCCGCGGCGACGGCAGCCTCCCCGCGCCCAGCCGGCTCTCCCCCTCCCCCTCCTCCAGCTTCACCTTCTTCTCCACGGGCGACACGCTCCCCGGCGGCGACGGCAGGCTCGGGCTCGCATGCACCGACGCCGCGGCCGTCGGGATAGACGGGACAGTCGCCGCGCTCGGCACCCGCGTCCGCCCACTCCCCGCCCCAACTTCCGGCGGCGCCGTCCTCGCGCGCGCCTCCCCCCGCCGCACCGCCGCCTCCCACACCGTCCGCAGCGGGCCCGCCTCCACCTCGCGCCGCAACCTGCTCTCCACAATCATATCCTCCATCTCCCTCGTCAGCAGCCCCACCACCTCATCCCTCCCCGCATCCCCTCGTGCATTCTGCAGCGTCCGAAACTCCTTATCGATCAGCCCCGCGACTATATGCGCGTCAGTCTCCCTAATCCGTGTGCCAGGCAGGGAAGCGGCGAACACACACCTTCCCGATCCAACACCCTCGCAGCCCCCCTCACCCTCTCCGCCACCGCCTCCCCGCTCACCGCCTCCCCCACCTCCGCCCCCTGCGGAAACACCACCGGCGCGACGCGGCTCAGCGCCACCGAGCAGAACAGGAACAGCTGGTGCAGGAACAGCACGTGCTGGTACGCCACGCGCCGCGGGAACAGCCTGGCCAGAATCCCCTGCGAGTGAGAGCTCGACGCCGGGTCATCAAGAAACAGGGAGTGGGAGTGGGAGTGGGACGAGGACGTGGGCGAGGGCGAGGGCCCGAGCAGGAAGGACAGCTCCGAGGCGACGAGGCTCAGCAGGAGGAGGTAGCGCCACTAATCCATGTCGTCGTCAGCGCAGGTACTAAATAAACGGCAAGGCGGGGGACGTACGAACGCAACCGGACTCGGCTTCCCAACCGCCGACAAGAACAGCAGAAACACGCCGCTCACGATGTAGAACCCGCTCGCCTGCATCAGCCCGTGCCGGAGGTACTCCCGTACCGTCGCGCAGTGGCTCCAGGTGAGTGCCTCTGGGCCGAACCTACCGCCCATCCCATTCAGCCGCCCACATACACATTCAAGCGCAAGCGCGAGGCACGCACCGATCGTACGAAAACCGCCGCACCGGATCCCTCAGCGCCTCAAACGCATCCCGCACCTGCACAAACCGCCCCTCCCCCGCGGGTCCCACGCGATCCGGATGCGCGCGCCTCGCGAACGCGCGGAACGCCGATTTCAGCGCGTGCTCGTCCGCATCGGGGCGCACACCGAGCACCTCGTAGAGGTTCGGCGGGAGCGCGCGCATCGCCTCGGCGAGGTTGTAGCTGAGGAAGAGGAGGACGACGCAGGCGAAGGCGATGCGGTAGTGGAGCGCGTATTGCGCGGTGCCCGGGCGCGGCGGGGAGGGGAGGAAGCGGTGGTAGAGCCGCAGGCATTGCGCGGTGGCGTAGTCGGGGAGGTAGGACCATGCGGCGAAGCGGCCGAGGGCGTAGGCCGCGGAGGACATCGTAGATGATTTCGATTAGATGGATGGAGATGCAAATGTAGATCTGCACAGACAGCGAGCAATCAGCACGCAAACAAGGAACACAGACTTGAGCCAAAGAAAACATGAACGCTCAGGCGCACGAATAGCAAAGCGCGCATTTCGATCTCATCCCCCCGCACCCAACTCATTCCCCGCCCCAAGCCCGCCTTGTGCGCACACAACCACACGCCGCCGCCTCGTTCTCCAGCAGCGGCGCTTATAGCATGCACGTATAAATCCTATCGGCGCATAAAAAACAACCACGTCTGCGACCGCCCGGCAGGGGTTGTCCTCCTCCTGCCCGGCTCGGCAACCGCGCCACGAAAATCAACCCGCTCCCATACGCCATCCAGGCATCGGGTGCGGGCAAACAAGCTGTAGACTCGTCCTTTGCCGCGCGCCGTGGGGCTCGGGGCGCGCGGCCTATCAGGAGTCCCGAAAGTAATGAAACCAGGTAGTAGTAGATGTGATGATGTGTGTCCGGCCTTAAGGCGCGCCACGGCGCTCGCGGGTGGCCCGCCGGGTATCGGACGAGAGGGGGCTCGAGGGCGGCGCGGGGCAGCGGGGTGCGGGAGTCGACCCTTTTACTAGGACATCATAGCAGAAAGAGAGGTGTCCCCGACAGCTCACCTGGGAATAGATTTCGTACCGGGGGTTGTTGCTGCGCGTTGTCGTTGATTCTCGGATACAGAGTGAGCTTAGCAATAACGAAGGAAAGCATACAGCGCGGAGGGTGAAGACATGGTAAGTAGCCAGCAAAGGATGGCTGGCAAGAATGAACAAGCGAGCCACAGCGGGGCTGCAGCACCACGGAACCGTGACGGTGACGCGCGGGTCACGTGGCTCCCTTGCTCTACTCGAAAACGACCAAGTCCAACATTCTGCGACTCATTTTGCGTACACTACGGGTACAACAAGACTATTAACATCTCCTCCCGAGCGTACAGAACGTCGAACAGTCATTAGCTACGTATACAGTCCGCAGAATACATCGCGAGGGCGTGGAACGAATCATGACCGTAGGAAAGGAAACTACCGATACAATAAATAATCGTGCCTCGTCAAGATCGTCAACCGGGGAGGCTATGACTCCGCGTAGTCAAAGTCGGGGAACTGGTTCCCGAAAGGATCGGGCCCGGACGCCCCGTAATGCAGCGTGGCGTTGTCCTCCGGATATTTCTCAAAGCTACATACCAGACTTCGTGAGCAGGCGTACCCTCACAAAGTCAAAGCAAAAACACGTACGCGCTGGAATCGCCGTCCCCGTTGATCTTCGGCAGGTACGGCGCCGTGATCTCCCTCGCCAGCAGCTTCCGCCAGTCGACCTCCGCGAACCACGGGTGCGCGAACACGTCCCCCGCGCCATGGTGCAAGTTCCCGTAGCGCTTCGACGGGTCCTTGTCCATCAGGTGCTCGATCAGATCCATCGAGTGTGCGCTGAACACGGGGGGCCAGCGGATGTACGCGAGCCCATGCCCGATCTTCTCGTAGAGGATGACGGGGTTCCCGTCGGGCTGGTGGAAGGGCGGCAAGCCAGAGAGCATCTCGAAGATGAGCACGCCCAGCGCGTACCAGTCCACGCTCTTGTTGTACCGCTGCTTCCCGATGATCTCGGAGGACGTAAGTATGAGAGACACATGAAGAGAAGAGAAAGGCGTACTTCGGGAGCGAGGTAGTCGGGTGTACCGCAGAGCGTCCACGTCGTCGTGTCGCAGTGCTTCGCAAATCCGAAATCCGCGATTTTGATGTGCCCGTCAAAGTTCAATAGTATGTTTTCGGGCTTGAGGTCTCGGTAGATGATGTCGAGGCTGTGAAGATGGTGGAGAGCGAGGGCAACCTCTGCGGCATAGAACTTCGCCACAGGATCCGGGAAGCGCTGGATGCGATGTCGGCGAATGCACAACACCTTAACAGCGGCTACTCACATTTGACCGGCGTAAGAGAGTGAAGAGCTCCCCGCCGGGGACGTAGTCCATCACCATATAGAGGTTTAATGAATCTTGAAAGCATCCCCAGAGGTTGATAATGAAGGGATGCTGAACGGCCATAAGCATATGCTGCTCGTCGTTCGTGTGCGACACCTGCTTCGTGCGCACGATCTTCTCCTTGTTCAACACTTTCACCGCGTAGAACCGCAGATTGTGTTTACTCCGCACTAAGGCGGTGTCGGTAATGCAAAATACGACGATCACGCTGATCGACGCACCAAGATGAACACGGCCGAAACTGCCCATCCCCAAGGTCCTCTGGATAATGAAATCGCTCAGGCGATACGCCCCTTTTGTTCTCCGTGGCGCATAGGTCGGTGAGTATAGGGTATCCCCATCCAAACTCCTGCCGAGGTCGCTCCCGGGGTAACCCTCGCTGGACAGCGACACCGACGGACGCGCCGAGCTCGAGCCAGCCACATTTCCGGGGCCCTTCGACAGCGGCCCGTGCTGATTCTGTTTCTGCGAGGCGATGCGCCCAAGACGGTCGGTCATGCGCTGAAGCATGTTTGCTGGCAGTGAAGAGAGGTGAGAGGGAAAGGAGACGGTGGAAACAAAGACTATTGACCAGCTGTGGCCATTGTTCTTGGTTAGGCGGATGCCAACCGGCGGAAGCAAACGGATTGATCGGTCTTAACCGAGGGGTTATCTAGATTTAATTTAGGTTCTGACTGGCCTTATTGATATCGTACAGGGCAGCGCAGGCCATGGGCACACCGCAGAGGCATTGATATTTGGAGAGGTATAAGCACACATTCCTATAGCTAGGGCGGAACCAGGGTTTGGATATGGGATGACGAAGTTATATAGATGCTTGAAATCGTCGAGTTCGTGGTAACTACTGTATACTATCTACTGCATGCAATGGAGAGGAGAAATGACTACTGCTACGAAAAGAGATGAATTGACGTATGCAAAACAGAGGGCAAGACGATATACGACATTCAGGAGGGAAGGAGTGGAGGACGATGCACGTGGAGCACAAGCATGCTAAAAGAACAAGATGGGAAGATACTACAGCTACGGTAAGATCCAGATGCACAAAGGGAGTCATCACAGCGCACAAACAACAGAGACGTCAATGGAGGGAAAGGGACATAGCTATTCTTATCTTCTTTTGAATTCACAGGACCGGACGCGCAACATCCACCGATGTCTTACACACCATACCGCTGGTGCAGCCTTTCCTGAATACCAGGAGGGAATGTCGCCACTTGCTGTGCCCACCCGGCCGGATCATGCTGCTTAAATCCGCTCAGAAGCGTTTGAAACATCGAGTTTAGCTCTGGCGTCGGCGAGTTCCACCGGACAATGGCATTGCAGAACCAGAGGATACTCTGAAATAGCAATTTTAGCGCAAGCATACTTTCCAGGGCATGTCACCTGACCTTGGCGATCCCAGCAGGATTCGTCTGCACGAGCGTGCAGAATCCTCGGAAAGCGGAATCCTTTTCCTCATTGTCGCGGATCTCGTACAACGCCTGGCACCATGCCTGAGCAAATTCAGGGAGATGTGCTGCAACGAGAGTAGGGTGCATAAGTCCAATACGGCCTATCGACACGGCAGCATTCTCGTGTAAGCTACGTGGGGCTTTAGGGTGCAAGAGGATCGGTATTAATCGGGAAATCAGAGGATTGACCCATTGCTGGAACTCGGGATCGTCTGCAATCAAAAAGTCGTGAGCATCCATGTAACAGCCAGCGCAACCACAAATCTTACCACGACCGTAACGCAGAGCTACCTCTCCGACGGACCAAGCTGCGTTATTGCAGGCGCTGATGAATTCAACCTTCGGTTCGGGGTCTAGCTGCATGATCAGCTCGGCCATGATACCCGGCATATGTGGGCGCAGCAAAGGGAAACACGACATGGCCATATCTCCAACCAATGCGTAACCGGATTGCCTCACAGGCGCTTGGGGATGCTTGAGACAGACCGTGAGCAACGAGAAAAGGTTCGGCTGTGTTTGGGTGATTAAGGGCTCCAAAGCCATACCAAGGCCTTGCGTCAATCCTGACAAGAGGTCCAAAGCGACTACCAAGAATGACCGATCGGGCTCATCCATATCTGGGTTCTGCTGGTACGCCTGATATTGTAATAGCGCGTTATGGATGATATTGTTGCATCGGATGAATATGGGGCCGGCATATGGGAGAAAGGCAGGGCCCATCGCGATCGTTACTGACGCCAGACACTAACAGACAGATCATTTGGCATGAACGAGGTTATGCGCAACGAGCATTATTCCGAGGACATACCTCCAGTAACGGCACAAGATCTTCGTCATCATCCTTGAGCTTCTCCCACTTCTTCATTAATGGCGGCATCAAGATTTCGACGTACATCGGGTCGGCCAAAGCCCTCCCGACTGCATCAGCCAGGGTACCCACTGCGTCGTACAAGATCAACATGTTCTTGTGTTGATACTTATCGAACGCGAATACCAAATTTCGCAGAACGGGTTCCAGGTAAGGTGCCAGCTCAGGGCCTGCGTCCTCTTCCAGAGTCGCAAACGCGCTGCAACCAGCTTCCTGCACGCGCTTGTTGTTGTCAAGCACCATGCGAAGTAACTAGGCGTGGGTTGAGACGATACGTTCACAAAGACAACGGACAAGGTCACTGACACCTTCCATGGTAGGAACGAAGAATTGGTTCTTGTGCTCTTCCGATGCAGGCTGTGTACACCAACTGGCGTATCGACCCAGAGTCCAACAGGTGATTGACCGGACTAAAGGCTGGAATGGCATATCGTCAGAAAAGGGCCTTGAAAAGGGTCATGATGAACCATGCAGACCTTCGGGTCACTCAACGTCTGGATCAGGTACGGTACTAACATTGGCAGATGCGGCTCGATCGCGTCGATACATCCTATATGGATGGAGGGTCGACGATCAGCTGAGCCTGTGAAATGAAAATACTACGTACCTTCAGCCATTGCACCTAGGGCCAAGATTCCGCTCTCCCTCTGCAACCAATCCGGACTCCAAAGCTTCTCCTTCAACGGTTCGAGGAGTACCGTCAGAAGGTCCTGTCCAAACCTCACAGCTAGAACGTCCAATGCCGCGGCTGCGCACTTCCGCAGGTTCCATTCCGTGGACATCTCATCCGCAAAATCGTCATCATCCATATCGTACTCGTCCTCTTCGTCCGAGTCTATCGTCTCCTCGCCATACGCGCCTACTCTAGGCTTCCCATCGCCTGCGCCTCCACCGCCTCCACCACCGCCACCATTTGCTTCGCGCTCATACCCATGCGACTTGCCGCCGTAATGGCGAGGCTTGATGTCCGTATCCTTGTCGGGCACATCGGCATCTTCAACATCACCCTCCAACCACAGTAGATCGTCCTCGCCATACACCATGCAGTCCAGTAAGACTGGGGCCACCTTAGAAAGCAGAGGATGAAGGTATGGCGCTAGTTCCGGGTCTTCGGCGAAAGTGAGCCAGAACTCGCAGGCTTCAAGGGCAACGTTTTCATTCTTGTCCTTGGTAGAATATAGCATGTATTCTGCCACGTTATTCATCTCTGGCATCAGTTTCTCGGGGCGCGACGCGAGCAGCAAAACGAGCGCTTGGCAGACATGCCGGCGTACAGCGGGATCCTCGTCTGACGCGCGTTTGAAGAGGCATGCAATGAAATTATCGATGTGCGCGTACAGCGATTGGCAATTGATCGGCACGAAGTAGGAAAGACACGCGACAGCGTGCGCACGCATTCTCGGGTCGGGATGTTCGGTGAGGACGAGGAACTTGGGGATCATGAAGTCGAGCGGTCGCGTGCCGTTGATGTCAATGTCCAATTTTCGTGGGTAATCCTCGCAAGCCTTCTCCAAAACGTTGAACGCAGCCTACGAAATGACATGAATCAGCATTGCTTCATGAATTCATTCATATCGGAAGGTAAAGCCTGTGACAACCCTAACCCCGTGACAAGCAGTAAGACATACCTCTTGTTGTCCTAAATCCTGCGAATCAAGTGCGGCAACCAGCTGCTGTAGACACTCCGGCCAATTTCTGGGTTCGAGGACCCCAAGGAAGGCGACCAAGTCTTGACCCGCAGCATTGCGTACAATATCGGAGGAGTCGCCAAAGGCCTGTAAGACGGTTGCTTTTACATATTGCGCCACTTGAGGCGATGAATGAAGGATCAGCCGGGAGTTATTCTTCAGTAGATATCCAGCAATCGTCCGGATGCGTTCCTCTTCCTGCGGCATAGAGCCAAGGATGTAAGCTAGATACGCAATATAATCTGGGACCCGCGTGAATTGGTTAAGTTTCTACTGAACGGTCAACTTCCGAACCGACAGATACTATCCGTCTGCGTACCTGCGTGATTGTTCGTTGAACTTCCTTATTGTGGGTATCCGTAGAATCGTGGATGGTCTGCAGAATTTCCTGCAGACCAGCTTGTTGCGGGGTCCATACAGACATATCTGGGGCCAGAACGCGTTTTATACAGATATATGCAGAGGAGACGCGTTACAGTCTGCTGTACACCGCGATGTTATGCCTCTTACCATAACCCAAATCTGTTATTTGTCGCTATTTGCGCATACCTATACACGTGACGCTTAATTGTAGTCACGTGCACTGTCGCGCGGCCTGGCAAGTTCGAAGAGTTTCGAAAGAAGAGCCAGGACTTAGAGCAGAAGCTACGAAGGGATTGCATTGCCTGTGAGTATTGATACAATATGTAGTGACTGCTAGAATATTCCAACGACGATCTCGTCCACTCAAGACGCATGTCCGACAACAAACCACAGAAACTGACCTGTCATCCTCACTCCGAGTAACTCTCAGTGACATCCGTTTCCTTGATGTCCTCGATGATCCTCCGAACGCGCTCGTAGACCGCAAACACAACCGCCTGACCGGGTGCCACGCGAAGCACCCGAGGTGTTATTCCCTTATAGAAGGAGCGAACGCCTTCTTGTTTCCACATGTCCTGAGCAATCGCCATTATACGCTGAGCCGCCGACACTCCCGGTGTAGCAGGAGATTTCTGTAAACCTATATCTCTGCATTAGCTTACGTCTCAATCATGGGGCTCATGGACGTACGAGTCTTGATGGTATCTATCGGAGCGTTGGAAAAGGGCCCCATGGCGCCGGATATTAGTCCAATGAGCATGTGTTGGTATGAAGGTAGGTCGGTCAATTCAGGTTGCTTATTATGTGCAAACTTCTTCAGCTGTTGATATGCCGTAAAGTTAGCGCCTATGGCTCATGTCAGATGGCGCGAGTAGCTCGTGAAGTAATATTTGCGCACCCTGGTTCGTGGCTTGTCTGATTGCCGTGAGTGTAACACCGCGATACAAGGCTGATACGCCTTCTTCCTTTAGGATCATGTACACTGCATGGGCAGCGTTCCGGTATCTGGGTACGTCCATGGGATCTGCCAAGGAATGATACTGCGCTTGTAATCGAATCTTGACCACCTCCATGGGTGTCACCACCAGCACTGCCTCCGTTGTTCCCGCACCCAGACCAGCTACGCAAAGGGATGTAAGATGAGGATGAGCGCATACGACTATAGACCGGCACTAACCTAAAAAGACGCTCCCCATGCTCGCTTTCCCTGTCTCTTTATTTGATAGCCAATCCTTGTACGCCTCAAAGCTCGCGAACCGCACAGCCATCTTGGGGACGATTCCACCGAGTACAGCACCAAGACCCTTATACAAGGCTAAAGGGGTTTCTCTTTTGACGATGTATGCACCCGTTGCGATGAACCCCCGCGACTTCGTCTATAGTACGTATCATCAGATTAGATAGCATAGTACGGAGGTATCCCACACGTACCCCTGGTGCTCGACCGGATCGCGAGAGTTGCATTCGCACTTTGATGGTGTCCAAGGGTTGACAACATAGCTAGCCGAGTCAGTTTACGGCTGACAGGGGCACAACAAGCGAACATACTGCCTCCATGGCACCAGCAATCCCTCCTGCGGTGATGTGGGTGGCGAACCCGACCTGTTTCTTGTCGCCGGATCGTGACATGCTGTAGTGTGGACTCAACCAAGGGGTGGAACCGAGTTCAGGGACCTCTCTCAGCACCGCCTATATAGCTCCTGGGCTCCGGAGTGATACCATGACTTCAGACAGAGGCTGCTTGAATGCGGGGTAGCACGTGAAAACAATTGAAGCGCACCTTGCCCCTATTGCTCCCCCGCATTCGTGCTTCGGGGGAGCCGCCTAGCTTCCGCCCCTCCGATATTGCCGTCGTCGAACCCGCTGCCCGCTCTCCTCCCGATGTTTGACTGGCCTCGGCCACGAATGTCTCCGCAGCCACCATCACCCATCAAGTCAAGATGTCGGAAACCCGTGTGCGCTTTTGCCATGAGTATCGCTTGCTGGTCTAGCGAGCTACTTAGGCAGACTACTGAGGTGCAGGGTGGAATGGGTGAAGGGTACACATGATTAGCGCATCATCCTTGTACCAGAGCAGACTTGGCTGTCGCGTCTAGCCTGACGTAAATGGCACTCGGGACGCGCTGCGCGGCGAGGCGGAATATCGTTGTGGCGGCTGGCCGTAGGCCACAAGCACTCGAAGCTTGATCAATCGGGTTCCACTGGTGAATTATTTTGTACTGCACTACAGTCGAGAAAGCCTGAATGTGCTGATGATATAACCCCATGCCCGACTAGAATGCTTTGAAGAGAGGGAATAACCTGTGCGGGAAACACGTGAATGAAGTCAAGTACCGGCTATCTGAGCAGTTGGTGCAAGTCCGGATGGTGACTGGTGCGTCCTAGTCTTACGAGTGATAGTTCATGACGAGTCTAGGATGCTTTCATGAGAAGATCTCTCATCACTGGCATTCTTAGGTTTGGGTCTCTACATGCTAAACATAGAGGCTTGCTATTAATACGCCTCTACGAGTTTGCACTATGTACTGAGTGCCAGATCTGTCCCCCCACATCTCTCGCTGGTAATTTAGAACGTTATCTGTGCAAAAGAATGAGCGATGTCGCTACGGCGCGTTATCGCCGACTACCGCCCCCATCGACGGCGAGAAGTTATGTCTGCAGTGACACTGACCGGTACCAGATACCGGACAATACCTCTGTTAGCACCGCACAGATAGGCGGAGGATTCTGGCTGCCCTTATGAACACTGTGTGACCGGAGGAGTAGGAAGATCTGCTGGTATTCATACACTGAACCTACTATTGGGCTGAGACTGCGTTCTATTCAACCCATCTGGACTCTTCAGATCCTCTATATCTTTTTCCATTGGTCTTCGGTCAAAGGGTGCCGGGAAGATCTTGTGCTGTGCGTATGCGGCCAAGGGACTGGCGGGCAAGAGTCATCAGCACAACACCAGTGGGCAGGATATCATAGTGGACGTACGTGACCGCCAATGAAGCGCCCAGAATTATCACAGTAGTTATGGGAGGCTGGTATCCGTTGCCGATCAGATCCTATGATTTCCCGTTTGAGACCGTGGTCAGAAAGACAGTGACAGTGGGCTGCGTACTGCAAGATGAGCTGAATTTCTGTCGAATAAAAATCGCAAGCCACGACTCATTCCGGTCTGCTTATTTAGGAGCAGATCGACGCCAAGGGCGGTCAGGAACGTCCCAGAAGACGCAGAGCAAAGTGTCTGCAGGTTTTCGTTAGTATCGCGACGAAACGACGGTCAGGAACGTACTATTGCAACGCGCTGCTTTGTTATCACTAAGAGCCCTCCGATCACCCCTGTTAACGCGACGACCATCCAGTTAACAAAAAACACTGGGATTAGGAGGTTGGCTCGTAGAAGTGCGAGACGGATCCCCGTCGCTGCTCCCCCGCCGAGGCCGAGCAGAGTTATTCCTGCTATTCGCGCGAAATCGAAGAAGCCGAGGCTGAAACCCCCGGCGTACATTCCGAAGACTATGAGAGTGATGGCCTCATCCGATATGTCCGGAACGCCCATCGTATTGATGATAGCAGCCCAACCTGCACGCGACCAATGAGCGGACTAAGCACGACAGGTAAGACCCTCATGGCTGGGTCAACTCGAACTGGGATATTACATCGGAAGCCCGACATGTTCAAGTAGATCCAGTCTTACGAAGCCCAAATCATCGTACTCACCGCATACTGCTAGTGACAGACCTATGGCGGCAGCAACAGTCACACGCCATCCACGAATTCCAGCAATGGCGAGAGGTACGCCATTAACGAAAGCGAAGAGAAGCCATAGGATTGCTGCAATAGAGAAAGCCGAGCCGCTTCCATCTGATGCGGGTCCTTGGGCTATAAATTGAAGGGTAACAGAGTCGATTATTGCGATCTTGCCATCTCTATACTCGACGACGGCTTTCCGAGGATAAATAGCGGGGTGGATATTCAAAGGGCTTAATGGAATGGGTATTGCTAAGGCTGGTAAGGTCTGTATGAAGTTGGACATGAAGATAAAAGTAAACAAAAGGGGTGGCAGTCGTGGCCCGCACGACCGCCGCATGTCTGGTTCCTCCAATATACCGGAAGTTTTAGACTTCTTGAGGAGATCGAAAAGGCCCTGCCCGACAGAGAAATCGAAAGGTACCAGTTAACGTTGGTGATCTCAGCACCGTAAGACCATCCTTCGCAGCCGATTCAGCAAGCCTAGTCCGCCCGAATGCAGCCCATGGAGGAGTAGCGGAGGAGGATGGTGAGGACAGCGAAGCACTTTATTATATTGTTTTCATACACACCGCCTAGTGATGGCTCTTCGGACGTATCGATGACCGTAGCTATCCTGGGCTGTGTTGCTATGATGGTGTTATTCGAAGCCACCGAGACCATACTTGGCAGGTGCCAAACAACGCGTAAACAACGCGTCCAAATTACATTAATCTAAGTTCGCTGCGAGCCAAGGACATCCTCTAGCCTGTCGCCATGGCTGATCGGTTTTCTGACATTGTTTCATGTTTGGGAGGGCCTGCAGTCACACCCAGCGACATCGAGTGGGTAGTCGATCTACCGGCAGGAAAGCAGCTTGTAGATTGGATTGTGGCCCAAGTCGAAGGGGCCCCCGAGTCCGATGAGGCTATCTCACAACTATCGAACGAACAAGGGCTCAAGGCATGTTTGAGTGATATCGCACTCGAGACTGAGGAGCTGGAGACGTAAGTACCAGTTCATCATTCCATTGGTAATACGAAGCATCCATCTGCTCTGGCACTGGCAATCCTCACCTAGTCTTCGCCGAGGCAGGCCCTACAGTCCAATACGTCTTGTGAAAATGGCGCCACTGTAGACTGACGCGATGCCATTCCACAGGCTGCGCAAGGCGCAACAGCTCAATTTAGCTGTGCAAGATTCTGACCAATGGTTGCTCTCAAAGTATCTCAGCCCCTCGCGTCTTAGGTGAGGGTTTGCGCCACACTATCGCTCTCGCATACCTCAAAGGTGACTGCCTAGGTCACGTCAATTATATATGGATTCTGAGACTGCCATCCTGCAAGCCGAAGCCAAAGATCTCCGGCATCGTCTACAGACAATGAAGTACGCACTCTCGCACCGAGGATTTAACCCCTCATTCACTTAGTACAACGTACAGGTCGGCTTGTAATACTGCCAAACAGACTCTGAAAGACCTAAGCCACGAAATTAAGGGAGCCGATACATCGATACACAACGGGCAAGAACGCCTGTCTGAGCTTTCCATCAATGTTTGCGCTATTGAATCGCATGTCTTGATTTCGTCTGCTTGATTATTGTATTTCCAGGCAGATACAGCGGTCTCATCTTCCCTGGATGCCGCACAGCGGCTTTTTCGCGCTCTTCTCTCCAAGGACAAACCCAAATCGGTAATGGTCAGCCGGTAAGGTTTTCCTCTCCAGCTACGGACAGCATTATCATACTTATGATGTTTCTTTCCCTGTCGTTATGGAAGAGCTATAGACGAATGCCTACAGAGTCTGGCCAGCATGCGTTCGGACATTATCCACAGGCACGAGGTACAGAAGCACAATCTCAAGGCATTCCAAGATTACCTACCTGGTCCTCAAGAAGTCGAGGCGGAGGCGTCGAGGCTACAGTCATCTTTACTGTCAGACAAGGTTGCTCCCATGGCCGTGGTGCAAGAGTTACAGTCCGTCTGCGGACATCTCGAACGTTTAGACGATGACCATGGCAGAGAATTACTGGAACGAATGATTGAGGAAGAAGATAGCCAACCAGCTGTTATCGGAAAGTTGGCCGAAGAAGTAAGATCCCAGCTCCAGAATGCCTGGCTCGCGGATCAAGTAGCGGTTCTGCAAGCCCAAGGAGAAATACTAGATATGGTCAGCAACGTCCTGCATGAATGTGACTGAATTTATGATATGTCTCCTTCGCAGACAATAACAGACTTTGAGCAAAATCTAATTCCGCCAATAACTCAACTGTACCAGAGTCTTTCCCTGTCAGATGCTCGCGCTCGTGAGGCTGAAGCATTGGTATCAGCACTGGTCGAAGAAATTGAAGAGATCGCGGATGATGTCCAGGACGTGAAGAATACGCGTTCATCTGACATTGCGGAGTTTGGAACCACAAGAGAATCTGAGGATGCGCGGCTAGAAGCTCGCATAAAGGAGATCTTAGTACGGCTGGACGGTACGATATGCAGCTTTCGAGTAACAGAGCACACAAGTATTCATGGTTACACAGAATCTCGAGTCGAAGACAGTACACCGTTGGTCCTTCTTGACAGAAACGATATTCTGTTACAATTGCGAGCAATCCAGGAAAAGTCGCATAATTGGGTCAATCGGGAGGCCGTCTGGGTCACGAATTTACCACTTAGTCTGAATGAAGTGTGAGTAGTCAGCTGCTAATTCATAGGTGATTGGGCTCACCTTGATCCGCGAACCTGAACTTGAATGCAGCACCGCGGGCCACGGTGCCTTACTCTCCACTGCATACCAGAACTCACATGTGAATACTTCCGCTCCGTTCAGTGTCCCCATGGAAGTGGCAGACCTTGCACAAGACGCCGAGCGTAGAATTGCAGAACTGCGAGCCAGTATCGATATCCTCACGAAGGTCAGCTCTCTTATAGTGCTCCTTGTACGTGTACCTTGACGTTGACTTTGGACTAGGACACCGAACTTGACGAGAGGAAAAGCCATAAGCTAAAGCAATTTGTTGAGAAGTGGGTAGCACCAAGATAGACTCTCCTCGGCCCCTTGTGGTCCTTATGTTCGCGAGGCCTAGGAACGCGTCCGACTCCGAACGCGATCGGAACGCGCAAGGGTCGCGTTTCATTAGAAGTGTCATATTTCCCACGGAGTTCATGTCGTCTCCGCTACGTTCAGTTCCGCTACAGTACTGCCCTTCACCAAGTCTCCTAGTACTATACGAAAAGATAACCATCAATCCGACGTCCCAGCGCGCTTGAGTCTTTGCATGTCAGTGAAACCAGCTTCCGATAGCCAGGACGGTGAGGTTGGTCATGTGCTATATACCGAAATACTTCTTGGTCTACAGCCGCCACACACTACTCTAGGAGGCCTATTCCAAAGCAACCAGAGCAGAACTCCAGAAGAATTGGGACTCTGCGTTTCGACTCTACGTTCGCGCCGTAGAATGCTACTTACATGCAAGTCGCAAGGCCACTGACGACGCGATTCGAGTGGAATACAAGGCTCGCGCCGCGAAGTCTCTGGAGAGAGCTGAGAAGATCAAGCAGTTGAAACGGAACGTTGCGCCCGTACCAGTGGACAGATTCTCCCAGCGCAAGTCATGTTCTTCACAAGTATTCCGCTCCTCAATCTGAAGGGTACCGCGCCATCAGAATATCAGTATTATGTACTCGATAAGTCATCTGTTATAAACGGCCTTCGATTCGAACTCTGGGACAGATCCACCTCGAAAGGCAGGTAAGGATGAGATGTCAAATCTAGTCGAGCTGGGTGATCTTATTTGATATTGACACATCAGCGAGGGACAACCAGGATTCTCCCCTGAGCAGGTCGCCTGCTCAGCGGAATACCAGAGACCGCAAGACCTCTCACCTCATTGCCAAGTAGCTACCGCATCTCTCATGCCCCATGATATTACGCAGCATCTCGTGTCAGATTGCTCCGTGAGTTCGTCGCTCGCAGTTTGCGTGGAGCATGCTAGACGATTTGGCACCAAGGTCAGCAAGCTGGGAACGACAGATGTCTACTGCTTACATATTGCGCTTTGTAAAGCTAGGGCTCTCTTCTTTGTACCCACAAGATACACAGGGTGTTCCTTGCGCGCCTGCTGACGGGAAGCACGCAGCAAGGTTCCTCTTTAATGGCGCATATCGCCGGGCGAGTGCGACCCATTCTCCACTCTCTATTGTTGAACTGACAGAGAGGATTCTAGATAAGTAAGGCGGGCATTCCGATCGTTGCGTTGGACTCATATTTCACTAGCTTTCGATGACAAGTTACCGTACTCGTCGGACGGAATTCCGTTATGTATGTCTGCTATATCGAAAGGTCAACTCTGGCCTTCGCTACTTGGGAAAGGGGTACGTTGTCTGCAGTTAGAATTTCTACTCGCCTAATAGCCTTGCAGTATATGAAGCTTATGGGAGGATATGATTTTCCTGGGTCGTGAGCCAAAGGACGTCTATCATTGTGGCGCCGTTTCCTCATCACATTCGACAGTAATTCGAGCATTGACTTGCAGTAAGGTTTCTCTGACGTCAGTTTTAACCGCTACCTACGCTTTGTTCAGTGCAATAACTGGGTGGATACCTGAACATTTGGAGTTCCACAGGTATACTACCCTTCGTTATGTGACGGCCAACTGCTGAGTTGTATATAGTCCCACTTTTGAGCGCGAGAATACCTGGAGTCGCCTTGTCGCTGGGTTTAATGAAGGTAAAGTCACACTGTACTGCGACTTCTTCAGTCGATGCTCATTCTACTCAGGGCGGTGCATTGCCACTGTAGGTACAGATAAGAAGAGTAATATAGTATGGAACGGTCGTACACTACTGCCGGCTCACTGTTACGCTGTTATCGGTGCGTCCGTTCCGTATCTATACCGAACCCCTTCCATGTTTTGTAAATAGATATCCACGAGGTCGGCGGCGAACGCGTGTTGACCTTACTGGACCCTCTTATCCCTTGTGAGTCTTGGGAAAGTGGTGAAGGGCAGACCTGCACGAACGGCATTGACAGTCAGTCCCGTGCGTCACTATACGTCCTGGTGAACGGCGTCAACGCTGACAAGCATTAGGAGCTTGGCAAATATCGTGGGACGACGCTTGTCATGTGTTGCATAGTATATATCTTAGCTGGGATCCTTCGCTCTTTCCTAACCAGTTGACGTTCCACGGGTAGGTGCAGTTGTTGCCTCAATTGAGATAAAATTCACCGTCAATGCACAGAATATGGAAGCCGGAGTCGAGCGAAAATGAACTTAAGAGTCAGCCCGAGCGATAAATGGACGGAGGTGCTGACCCTGATACTACGAATTCACAGCGGCATATGATCACTTGCGCCTGCAGGTGTCCTCTCCTGTTGACTGCGAGCTGTGGGTAGTGCTGACAAGACATGTCGTCGATCGGCGGAGAATATCGGAGTACATTGCTTTGCGAGTAGAACAGGACGATAGTCTGAGCGATCAAGCGTCATTGCAAAAATTAGCTTCGCAGGTCAGTAGGAAGAAAATATGCCAAGCTGCTCTGATGGATCAACGTGTCTGTAGGGCATGTACACCAATAGTCCCCATACGTCGGTCAGTGCTGTCCACAGAACGTTCGCAGATCGGCTCTGACCAGCTACAGGCGCGGATTCGTTTGCAAGGTCCTGAAGACATCATCTCCATATTAATCTCATACGAGGGGCTTTTCGAAGAAACTGCTTATACAGTGACCGCATATTCCACCGTCCCACTAAGCTGGGACCGGTCGACGCCACCTCCAACGTACGTCAAGAAGGTAACACCGTCTATCTGATCATGTTCCGATGCACTTACACTGATACCCGCGTCGTAGATGGAGGGCATCCTAACTATGAAAAATGCCGGTGGCAGCTGTGTCCACCCTACGTTCATGCTCAACCCACAATACCATCTCCGCATCCAATCTGATACGAATACGCGGGACTCGAAGTCCAAGGGTGGACGTAAGGCCACGGTGGAGTTCTTGCTGCAGGGCGACAGAAGTCTACCCCTCAACTTGACCGTCCTATGGTCTGAAGGACAGCGCGTGACTGAGTCAGCACTCCCCTCCGTCATCATTGCATGATTCTGAACCAGTCTATCCAGACTCAGCCCGAACGATATCGCGGTGGGTTCAGGGCCATACAGCTACGGACTGGCTCATGCCCGGAAGGACCTGCCCCGTAAGTAGAGTGATGATTGCGCGGTATCAGACTAATGGATCTGGGTAGCGGGGGAATACACGCTCGTCGTCTCCGCATTCGAGCCCGACCAGCAGGGGAAGTTCTCGCTGCAAGTAGCAAGCAACCGTCCATTCGAGCTCGAGCCGATCCCGCAAGAGGGCGCGGGGATGTACACCAAGACCGTGCGGGGTACCTGGTCAGTACGGCTCCATTATCACCCACGACGTATTCATGAAGAGGTGAACTTTCAATGATGCGTTCGCAGGGACCATGAAACTGCTGCCGGCGCGGCGCCTTTTAACCGCTACTTCTCGAATCCACAGTACGAGCTGCACGTCAAATCGCAAACCCAAGTGAAGTTCGTGCTGCATCCCCTACCTCCTTATACCTAACCTCGCCCTTACATCCACAATCTCTCGTAGGATCCGCCTGCAGCTCGCCCAGCCCTCGCCCCTCCCCGCACTCAACGTCTCCCTCTTCCGCGAGACCTCCGAGTCGTCGCCCGCGCGCGTCCTCACCTCCGGGCCCTACGCCGACGCGGTGTGCGGTGTGCTCACACCGCAGATAACGCTCGCCCCGGGCACGTATCTCCTGGTGCCGAGCACGTACGAGCCCGGGTGCAGGGTCCCGTTTCGCGTGATCGTGTACAGCACGGCTGCAGGAGTGACGCTAGGGCGACGGAAGTGAGTTGGTGGGGAAAGAGCGGAAGGAGGGGGAGGTGAGGAGGAACTCGTTGACTCGCTTGAGGGTCGTGCGCGAAGGGTTTGCGCGCGCCTGGCTGGAAATGATCCACTGGAGGCGGGTGCGGATAGTCTGCTTGTCTATGTAACCGTGAAATTATTACGACGGCAATATGAAGGGCATTGTATTTACCAGCTGTGCTTTTGCCGTCGGGGACGAGTCTGCCCTCATCATTGAAGAACCTTTGCAAGGCCACGAGCGCGACGCCGACGCTAGTGTCCGTGCCCTCGTCGCACGCTATGCATACCTTCCTCCCCGCGCGCAGGGCGGAGCCTATGAACGACACAGATTGCGGCAGGACGATTTCGAGGAAGTGCAGCTGGCCTTTCTTCCCTGGCGGGGTGCGCAAACGCAGCACGTTTGGCTCCGAGTCACTGGCCTCGGCGATATCGTTCGTGATGATGACATACGCCATTGTGGCAGAATCGCCTTCGGCAGGGGGTGAAGCGTCCGGTAGGGTGGTAGGGAGGTCGGACGTCCTGCATATAAGCAGGGCGCCTGACACTTGTCGAATAGGTACCGGGGGCGCCGTCCAGTCATTGCGGACCTCCCGAGCGCGATGGATGCGATCCTGCGTGACAAGCTCGTCAACTAGGGCAGGGAGCTCGGCACGGGTGCAATTCAGGAGGCGGTCCTTGTGCGCCCAGAAGATGCTGGGAGTGAGGCCCTGCGGTGTACGGGTCAGCATCGGCACACATGCCCGTGAGGACGCGGCAACGGACCTTACCCCACAATTCATGGTCGTCGCCCGAGCCCTGGACGTACGCGAACCCCGCTTGTCGTCGTTCTATTCCGGCATCCACCCGCTTCGACGCGGAGACGCAGAGGACGAGAATGAAGCCCTCGGGCAGGCGCGGGAAGACGGACGTTGACGGAGTAAGCCATAGCGGGCGGAGGGGGTGCGGGAGATGGGGGAGGGCGTACGATGAGTCCTGGTGGAATATTGGTATGCATCAGCTTCCTTGTATGTGAAGGATAAGGGAAGGGAAGTTGCGCACTGCGAGCGAGCGCGCCCACGCGTCAAGGTGTTCCTCGATCTGCTGGGCCTCCTGCGCGCTCACCGTCCCGGGTGGTGTGTACAGCCGTGTGTCCCAGCTGTCTGGGTCGAGGAGTCCCTGGCGCAGGCGCACCGCGCGGTTGAGTACGGCGCACCAAATGGGAACGGTCTTGGAGAGCGCATCGGGCATGCGCTTGCCGGCCCGCGTGGAGTCTACGAGGATCATTCTAATGTCGGATACGTTTATGTTCGTGATTGGATGAGTGAGTGAATGGATGAAGGAGTAGAGCGGGCACGACGTACCCATTGTGCTCGACAGCGAGGGGCAGAAGATGCAAGTTCGGGCGTCGCAGGTTAAAGCTCCAGTTCCCGAAGTGGCCGTCGGTGGACTTGAAGTACGCCGCGATGTCGGCTGCTGCCTGTGTTTGCTCCGTTGAACTTATTCGATGCCAAGGAAGGACGAAAAATGTACAGACTATGCTGGGATCCGTGTACCATGCTCCACAGCGTAGGTTAGCTACATACAGACGATCCAGTCAGAGCCTATTCGTAAGACCAGGCGACACTTACGGAGGATGGGTAATAATGGATACGTGCGATGCACCTCATTGACAAAGGTAATGTCTTCTGCAACTGAATGGAGGCGGTTGTAGATATCCAAAGATTCTTTTCGGAGGAGAGCGAGGGCCTCCGCTTGTGCATTTCGAGTGTCGAAGGATATTCCATCCATCGATGCTTTTACGATGAGCTCAAGTGCGACATTGATGACATTAGACGAACTTACAATATTTGATACTATATTAGGGTTGAAGAGTGCTCGAGTAGACCAACTAAAAGTAGTAGGTGGCAAATTGTGGATCTGTCAGGGCACCTTGTATGAAGGGCAGAAGTACCTTTGACAGAGTGTGCACAGGAAAATCTGCTTGACAGTGAAGAAGGGTTCAAAGTGAGCAGCAACAATCTGTACCTATAGACATAAGCACTGGGAGGTGCAGTCTGAATAGCCAGCCAATCAAAGCCTCAGAAGGACCTGTAAATATTGCCAGTGATTAACCTTTTGCCCTTCCGGATCCTGGGACTTTAATCCCACCATAGAAACAACTACCAGTATATCATCAGTATCGAAGGGCCCACCTGCTTGACGATGAACAGAAATCCAAGGAAATTCAAGGAAACCCCTTCAAGGTGAGATTCAAGAGGATTCAAGTTGGAGCACCGCCGTCACACCATGTCACGCAGACACGTGAAAGTCAGGTGAAGCGGACGATACTCGATCGACTCCAAGTCGAAATTCGGAATATTTGGGACGCCCTCATCACCGCTATGTTGTCAGATTCGGACAACGAAGATATACACCAGCTTACCATCAACGAGCACTATGCAAAAGCATTTGAGTACCGTAAGGAGCGGGAAGAGCTGCAGAAACGTGCGTATCTTTTCGTACAACCGTAATGTGCAGAACATAAGTTTGATATCCGCCGGCCCTTGTTCAGTGAAAGACAAATATGGCTCCGACTACGAGGAAGGAGACGAGGAAGAAGAGGACTCTGAAGAGCTAGAGTCTGAGGACGAGGATGGCGAGGAGCTCACACCCGCGGTGGACGCCGCCATACTGAAGACACTTGCAAGGATCAAGAATAAGGATCCAAGCATATACGACCCCAGCAAACCTGTATTCGATGGTGCGCTCAGTCCTCTGTCCTTTTCATTGTAGTTGTGTTTCATGACCTTTAGAGGAGCGACAAAAGACGCAAGACAAAAGTCTTTCCTCCCGCTCTAAGAAATCGAAGGACAAGTCCAAAGTGCGCATTACCCGTCACTTTTCCCCGCTTGGCTTGACTGAGACTTAAACAAGTTCCCCTGCCCATTCCTAGCCCTTGACCATCCGCCAGCAAGCCCTCGACGCCGTGCTGAACCCCTCCCGCTCTCCCTCACGCTCCCCTTCGCCCGAGGTAACGCACGTCGAAGAGCAAAAAGCCCTGCGCGACGAGACGGTCTCCGCGTTCCACCACGCCATCAAAGACGACGACGATTCCGACATCCTTGTCCCGCGCGAGAAGACGCAGGACGAGCTGGAGCGGGAGGAGGAGGAGTATCGGGAGTTTCTGCAGAGAGAGGTGGGGGATATCCGGGAGCTGGTAATGATTGAGCCCGCGGAGGAGGAGGTGAGGAACGAGAAAGAGCAAGAGAAGAAGATGAGTAAGAAGGGGAAGAAGAGTAAGGAGAACGAAGACCAGGAGTTTCTCATGAAGTGCGTCTGGTCATTTATTGCCACGTCTGCTGGGTATGTTTATATTGCTGCATCTAGCTACATCCTGAACCGCGGGTGGATCGACCGCACCGCGAAGCGGCTGCCCACGTACAAGGAGGTCACGGACAAAGGGAAAGGGAAAGCGAAGGTGAAAAAAGAAGAGAGCTCGAGCGAAACCGAAGCCGAAGTCGACGATACCGAGGACGCAGAGTTCGAAGAGGTCGCCGAGCAATTCGAGTCCTCCTACAACTTCCGCTTCGAAGAGCCGTACGTGCATCCCCTCATTTCCCCTATCTCCCTCCCCTCCTCTCCCCACCTGACGTTAACCCCACCCCAGTGACGCAGCGACGATCAAGTCCTACCCGCGCCAGCTACCTGGCCTCGTCCGGCGCGAAGACAGCACGCGCAAGTCCGCGCGGGAGCGCAAGAAGGAGCGGAAAGAGCAAGAGCTGCTGCAGAAGAAGGAGGAGGTAAAGCGGCTCAAGGCTCTGAAGATGAAGGAGCTGCGCGCGAAGCTCGAGCGGATCGGGCGGGAGGGCGGGAAGAGCGTGGACGAGACCAAGGGTGCGTCGCACTCTCATCCTATGCGCATATGCGTAGATCTTAAATTTTGGGGATTTGCTATTCAGCCTTGCAGCAGCTGGATCTAGATGGGGAGTGGGATCCGGAGGCGCACGAGCGGCAGATGGCGCAGATATACGGCGACGACGCGCCTGACGGGGACGTCGACGCGGAGAAGCCAACGTGGGACGACGACATCGACGTTCGGGACATCGCCCCCGATTTATCAGATGAAGACGAACAAGAACATGAAGCCGAGTCGTCGAAGAAGAGCAAAAAGAAGAAGAAGAAGAAGAAGGATAAGGAGCGGGAGGGAGAGGTGGTGGACGGGGTGGATGTCGACGCTATGGACGCCGAGCGGGCGGAGTACGCAGACGGAGACGGTGAAGAGTGGGACGGGACGGAGGAGATGCGCAAGAAGAAGCTGGAGGAGTACATGGATTCTTTATACGAGATGGACTTCAACGACATGGTAACTACCCTTTGCCCTCCCTCTCCCCTTTCTTGCTCACTTCCCCCTTCCCCGTTCAGGTGGGCGGCATGCCCACGCGGTTCAAATACACCAAAGTCGCGCCCCAGAACTTCGGCCTGAGCCCCGTCGAGATCCTCACCGCGACGGACGCGGAGCTGAACCAGTTCATGGGTATCAAAAAGCTCGCGCCGTACCGCAAGGGCGTGCGGTGGGATAACCAGCGGAACGAAAAGCTGCGGGAGCTGAAGACCGCCGTGGCGGAGCGCCAGCAGGCGAGTGGGTTTGGGTTTGCAAGTAATCCGGGTGCGGAGGGCGAGCAGCGGAAGAAGAAGAGGAAGGGGAAGAAGGAGCGGATGAAGTTGAAAGCTGCCTCTGGCGATGTGGGCGAGGATGGGGAGGAAGGAGGTGAGGATGGGGAGACACCTGTACCTGAGCAGGCCGAGGTGCGGAAACGCAAGGAACCGGATGAAAGTGGGGATGGGGAGGGTGACGGTGTTCAGGAGGGCGCGTCTGCGAAGAAGAAGCGAAGACGTCATCGGAAAGCTGGGCATGGCGAGAGCTGATTGTATCGTACAGGTTCATCCTACTCTATTCATGCTGGGTTCCTCTGCTGATAGCTGCAGTATCTGACCCCATGAGCCCGCTACAAAGTCTAGGTTAAGCTCAATCACTTCGTGGCGACCCTGGATGAGAGGAGCTTATTTCCCAAGTCGAGGCAGGCTATTGCGCTTCCTTGACGAGAATCCGCTTTGGCCGCGGTCAGCGGAGCTGGGTTGACTCTGTAGTGTTCACCCGCCCATTTATCCGTTATGGCTAATATGGGGCCAAAATGTCTGGGTCTCTTGGTCGATGTGGCCTTATGCAATTATCAGCGTATCTATCCACTAGGGGACACAAATGCCTCCCCTTCGTCGCGGTCCTTGTGCAAGCCTTCCTTTGATACTCGCGTCTTCTTCGCCGATATCCTTCCGCTTCAGTACACCGTCTTCAGGCGTGTGGCTTATCCGCACTCCCACCATCACGGTGCCGCTCCCGACGCCGTCGACTTAGACTGGAGAGGACTGCAAGAGACCTGCTATACATCAGCTCACCCACGCGACGAACGGAGGCGAGGAGCTTCTGTGAATGTTCATCATGAGCTCCCCGCCGCCCATCGACGGACCACGACACTCGTTACACCAGTGAAACATGATAAACTGAAATGTAAGTACGCACAACTCATCGAGCACAGCAAGCTGGATCTCTCCAGAAGTTCGCTTTATGACCCAAGATCATGATGAATCGGAATAGGAAGGATTTTGCCTTCGCGCGGTCAACCAACCGCCTGAACGGCTCTGGTTCTTGCCTTGCCAGTAAGCTATCAGCAGGTGTGTATCAACATGCTCGCTCCCACCATTAATATGCCGCACCCGATGCCGTCGACTTAAACTGGAGTGGACTGCAGAAGCCCTGCTACACATCCGCTCAGCCTTGCGACCGTTCATCACGAGCACCCCGCCCGCTCATCGCTGAAAGACCCATGCCAACCCAGCATCACCCCAGTGAAACACGCCAAACTGAATTGTAAGTAAGCACACCGCTCGCAGCACAGGAAGCCTGATCCCCCCAGAAGCCCCGCGGCCCACGATCATGATGATGAAGTGGAATGGGGAGGATTATCGCCTTCGCAGAGCGCCTGCCTGAACGCTTCTGGTTCTCGCCTTGCCACGAGCATGGGAGGGCGTCCGACGAGCCCGGCTCGTCGCGCTTCCTGTGATTCTTTGAACGCCGGAGCCGTTCATGTATCAGTGGAAGCGAGCTGGCCTTTACGCCCTTGCCAAGGTCGTGCACAGTCCAGAGTTCAAACCAAACCGCGAAGCCGCTTCAAATTGCCACAACGCGAAGCACTCCGTGACCCTTAGACTGTGGCAGTCCCGGTCTATTTCAGAAGCTCGGAGCAGCTCACCCGAGCTCTGTATCAGTCCAAGTATGCTATCTGCCCTGATGGCAAGCAGTGCGGCAGAGATTTATTACGACTTGGGCAACGAGATCACCTCCGAGTCTCTGGGCCCGAACTACACTTTGCAAGTATACTCAGCGACGATCCCGGTTGGCTGCCACTCCCCGATGAGCACGGAGAGACGAAATCAGGCTTCGAACCTGTTCATATCCTATTGACATCATCATACAATATCCCGGTGGTCGTTAGATGTGGTACGATACAAGAGGTTGGAACGGGTAATACAAACAGCAGTGCAGATAGACATACAACGAGAGGTATCTAGAATCCAGAGACACTATGGCTACATCAAGATCCAGGAGATGTCCATACGAGAGAATGAACGACGACGTCCCAGGCAAAGCAAGGGAAAGAGAATTCGAGCAATACATATCATCAGCGCGAAGGCGAACGAACGACCGAAAGCGTTAAGTCATGATGGAGAACACCAGAAAGACGCCCACGAGGCGCGCTCAGCTGCTGCCAGAGCAGACCGAGCACCCCGTGCCGATCTGTACCGCGGTGCTCGCGACATCGCAGCTCTTCAGCGCGGTCGCGCACCCGCTCAGCGTCCCGCTCAGCCCCGAGTTGTTCTGGAGACTCAGGACCTGCAGCGAGGACGGGAACGCAGGCGGGAGCGGCGGCTGCACGTTGTTCGAGTCCAAATGCAGCTCGGTCAGCGCCTGGAGGGAGGATATGGCGGGCGGGACGGATGCTGTCAGGTTCGTCGAGGACAGGTCGCTATGATGGGAAGAAGGGGGGTCAGGGATGATGGGGTGTGTGTGGTGGGGCTGCTTACAGGAGCTGCAGGGACGCTTGGAGGGACTTGCTCCCGGTGATCGCCGATAGTGGGTCGGCGAGTGGTTGGGTGTTCACGACGCTAAAAGGGAATAACAGTGAATACGAATGAAAATATGATACACTGCAGAAAGCGGACTCACAGGCTCTGGAGAGATAGCTGCGCCAGGGACGACGGCAGGTTGCTGCCCATCTGGGCGTTCTTGATCAGGGTGAGCGCCGTCACCTTCTTCAGCGTCGAGAAAAGGCTGTCGGGGAGAGCCGCGAGGGCCGTGCTCTCCAGATGCAGTGTGGTGAGAGAAGTGAGGTTGGTGAACGAGTTTGGAAGAGACCCAGCTGAGTAAAGAACAAATCAGGTTGCGATGAGCACGAAATTAGCTTGGTGTGACGGTAAAAATACTTACACGGCACGGCGCTATTGCCAATGACCGAGAGACTTTGCAGCCCGGTAAGGCTACCCAGCTCCTCGGGCAGGAGTGTCGGGACGGCGGGGAACGTCAGCTGTCTGCAATGACGGCTCGTCGTTAGTTCTTTTCTTTGTCTGATTCTATGGATATGATGTACTCACAAGGAGGACACCCTCCCCGTGCCGTCGCACGTCACCCCGTTCCACGCGCAGAAACGGGTGTCGTTCAGCCACCCTTGATTGTGCAGACCGGTCTGCGCGGTAGCACCCGAAGAGTCAAAGATGCCCTTGAGCCCGCAGAACTGGACCGCGTTGAGGATCTGCTGCGCGTCGCCGGGGTCTGTGCTCGAGACATTCGCGGGCACGGCCTGGAGGATCGGCAAGCAGGAGGAACACGGGTACGCCGATGGATTGGCAGGCGCGTTGAGCGTGTACTGCGAGAGGCACTGCTGTGCGTCCACGGAGAGGCCGGTGGCAGACGGGGAAGTCGCTGATGCAACGGGTGACGATACGGGCCCGCTTGATGCGGCCGACAGCCTGACTACGCGGACGTTGAGGAACAGGACGTCGGAGAAGAGGAACAGGAGGAGGGCGATCAGCGCGACCAGCCAGATCTGTCTGCGCTTCTTGGCCCGCGCGTGCCGCTCGTGGCAGGGGCACCGCGGCGGCTGCTTGTCCTCGACCTTGAGCGGGGGCCATTCGCGGAGGTGGGGCGGTTCTATGGGCACCATTTCGGGCTCCCTGCCCAGCATGCGCAGGTCGAAGAAGAGGTTGGTGAACCGGTTCGTCATGCGCTCGCGGAAGCGCGCGGACGTGGGTGTCTGTGTCTGACCGGCTTCGACGTCTGCGGCCCTGCGCGAAGAGTTATTCATGGTCACGGTGCTCGCGGACGCGGTCCGAAAGCTTGGTGGCGGGGACTCGGGCGAGAAACGCGATTTCTCGACGGGGACGTTGTCAAGCGGGATTTCGACAGACAGGTGTTCGCGGAACTTGGACGTCGGCTTCCAGGACGCGCGAAAGTCGTAGGACTGGGGTCTGGCGGTCATCTAGGGCGTTGGCGGCGGCGCGTCGCAGGATGTCGTCGAGAGCAAGGGATATATGCAGGCCAGCTGCGCGTCGCGGCGAATAAATCGAGCAGCATTGTCGACAACAATAGCGAGCCCATAAATTGTACAATAGCGCGCGACAAAGGACACTCGCGCCCGAAGCATCACAATGGTATGACGTTCACAATGGCCCATAAGCGTGGGAATGTCGCTCAATTAACCCAGCACCGCCACAGGAAGCCGGGGTCATCAACGAAGACCCGTGGGAAAGACGGGACGAGGTCTGAAAAGAATTGCGATGGCCGTGGTCACGGTCCACAGCGACGCTGATGGACCAAGTGATGGAGAAGATTTGACGTATTCCTGCAAGGTCTCGCGCCTTACATATGAACCTTGCACTGTGTCTTGTGCGCCGCACTGACCCCCACGAATATTAATCATATCGCGGAATATCCGAATATCGGATGCAGGGCACGAGCAAGAAGGACGCGCAGCGCGCGGGCTACGGGCCAGCGCGAGTATCATGCGAAGAGTGCCGTCGGTGAGTCCCAAGCAATGCCCGAGGCTCGCCGAGACCGACCCACGCCGTCCCAGGATGAAGTCCCGCTGCGACAAGCAGCGGCCATGCGGCCCGTGCATACGAAGAGGATGCGCCGACATCTGCCCGAACGGTGAGTGATTGCGGCCCCGCCTCGCTTCGCCTGACACGAATGCGGCGCCCCAGGGACGCTCCCGACGCGGCGCGTCTTCAGGTCTGTCCGCACCCGCGCACGTTTCCACCGCCAGTGCTGACGCCATCAATCCAGGTCCATCTACGCAGACAAGGAGGCGCTCCAGCAGAAGATCGAGCAGCTATGCCACCGGATACAGGACCTCGAGGACGCCATACGCGCGATGCACTCCAAGACCTCCTCCGAAAACCACCCCCTCCTCAGCGAACAGCTGCTCTCCATCAAAGTCACCGACCGCCTCCTCGAGGGCACCGACTCGCCCTACCCCGGGCTCCCGCCCCCCGAAGAGTCCCTGGACAGCGTCAACGACGCCTTCGGGACGCTCACCATCGGCGACGACGGGCGCGCCAAGTTCTTCGGACGATCCGCGGGGCCCGAGGTGCGTAGCGTCCTCCCATCACCGAGATTGATCGCACCCGGATTAACCTCTGCACCGCACGCAGATTCTCTTCCAGGTACGCTTTCCCTTTGATGCATCGGGCCGGCGGGAGTGGTTAACCACTGTCACCACAGGGCCTGCGCTCAGAGGACGACAGCGCAGACGGCGCCTCCCCCTCCTCGCAGCGGCGCGGGCGCTCCCCAGCGCGCGGCGCCGCCGAGCCCGCGCTGTACGACGACGAGACACTCGCGGCGCTCGAGGCGCAGCTGCCCTCCGAGCACCGCGCCTCCGCGCTCTGCGAGTCGTACCTCGAGCACTCCTCCTGGTTCTTCGGGCCGATCCAGCGCGACGAGCTCGTGCACGAGCTCCTCGCGCCCGTCTACGCCTCCCTCTCCGCGCGCACGTACAACCCGCTGAAGCTCGCCGTGCTCTTCTTCGTGCTCGCGCACGGCGCGCTCGCGGACCTCTCGCTCCCGCCGTACAACGCCGAGGCCGAGGGGTACTACCGCGCGGGCGCGAGCATGCTGTCGATGAGGAATATTGTGGAGACGCCGACGATCGAGACTGTCCAGGCGTTTGCGTATATGAGCGTGTACAATGTGCTGTGCGAGAAGAGATATGGGCTCGGGTGTGCGTGGCCGCTGATACATGTCGCGGTGAAGCTGTCGCAAGCGGTGAGTGACGAGGTACCGTCGTGGCTCGGCTGCTCATTAGCTGATATCCTGATTGACTAGATTGGTCTCCGTTAGTACCGCCCGCTGTTCTGTCAGAGCGTTTCCATCTGATGTTCGTCGATTTTTCCAGACCTTGACAGTTCCTATTGGCAGCTAGACGAGACGACGATACACCGGCGCAGGATGTTATTCTGGGAGCTCGTATCGCAAGAACTACCCATGGTAAGTTCAGTTTACTTCATATCTGACAACCCCTTCATGCGTTTCGCAGAGTCTAAGCACAGGCCGACCCCCGTCAACCCACTGGGACTTTGCCAACTGCAAAATCCCCACGCCAGAGCGCGACCAAGTCGTCGACCTCGCCGAAGAATGTCAGTCCCCTCTCTACCTTGCAACTCTAACCCAACCTTCATATCATTTGCTCAGACAACACCTGGCGGTACACCTTCAACCGCGACATCTGGTGGCAGGCCGTCAAGCTCACAATCTCCGGGCAGGCACCGAGCTACCGCGCGATCCTCGACCTGGACCGCAAGCTCGGGTCCGTGACCATGCCCGCCGCGCTCAAGGCCGAGTCCGAGCCGGGCGAGCTCGACTATTACGAGCCCGCGGCGTGTATGCGCAGTCTCTTTGCGAACCACATCCAGTACTACGGTGAGCGTCGCAACTTCACACGTGGGTGCCAGGGTGGTCGCTGACAGATGATGGCGGTGAATGTGCAGTGCGCATGTACATCCACCGCCCGTTTTTCGCAAAGGCGTTCCTCGACTACCCCGCGGACCCCGTGCACAGCCCGTACGGCGTGTCCGTGATGACGACGTACCGCACCGCGCTGCTCGTGCTCAAGTCGCTCACGCACTTCCTGCAGCGCGCGCCGATACTCTGCCAGCGCTTCTTCTTCGTGTGGCTCCACGCGTTTTCGGCCGCGGTATGCTAGGTTTAAAATCTATGTGAGAAGGATACGCTGACGTGGATGTGTAGATCGTGGTGGCATTCATCGCTACAAAGTCGCCCAATCCGACTATTGCGCGGGGCGCGTTTGATAGGCTGAATGCTGCGATCGAGTTGTTCGAGAAAGGTGCTGCGCAAAACCATCGCGTGCAGATATCGCTGGTGAGTACAGAGCATTCATCACATCACTCGGTGCGCTGACGGCGCCCCAGCCCATCCTGCGCGAACTGCGCGAGAAAGCATACCTGAAGCTCTCCCGACTACCCAGCGCCGGCGAGGACCTCGCCAACCTCGACGACGACGACCACCTCGCGACCTTCGTCGGACGCACAAAGTTCATGCTCGTCGCCTCCGCGGGCCGGAGCCCGCGTTCATCGACCGGCTCGCCGGACTCGCGGCAAGACGATATGGATTCGCGGGACGTCTTCGCGGACAGCCCGAACATCGCTTCGGTCATGCAGAGTACGTTTGAGCCCGGCAGCCTCACGGCCTCCTTATCGCAGACGCAACCCGGCGTGACTCAGGGCGTGACAGGTTCTAGCAGTAACGGTGGTACGCCGCAGGAGCTGCAAGACCCGCTGTTTAGCCTGGGCGCGTCGTACGAGATGTGCCGGTCGTACTTGGACATCATGCCCGGAGCGCCGAATGCGGCTGAGCTCGCCAGGCGCGGCTCGGGTGGGAGCGTCGAGTCTTTACTGGGGGACGGGGGGTTTTCGTTTGACATCGATCCGATGACATTCTTTTCTGAGGCTGCGGTATGTTTTCATGGGTCCCCGCGTCGCATTTTTCTGGATCGCTGACGACGTACTACAGCAGACATCGGGAACGCCAAGGTAACTAGGCGTTTGCAGCAGTCCGTTGGGACATTGGTCACTGTATATTCGGATAATCCATTGTATCTGTATCTTTTATGCATATCATTATTCAATCTGGTCATTTCAGATGTCGTTCTACCAGCGCACGTGGAGGAGCCCGCCAATACCTATCCTCAAGCACAATTAGCACGACTCAACGGAAAACATTCGAACCTCGTTACCCTGGTCTTGCCAGTGAGCCCGGTGGGGATGCGGGCGACGCCAATAACATGCTGACATGAAGACTCCACCGAGTCGCGTGCGTACTCCGAGCTCAAGTTTTATCCATAGACACTACATTCTGTATCCGTGTCTTATATGCATAACGTTATTTAACCAGGTCGTTACAGGCGTTGTTCTACTAATACACGTCTCTGAAGTCATGAAGACCTAACCTACAGCACCAATCTACGAAGATATCGTCAATTGCCTCCGCGTTCATTGTATACAATCCTCTGGGCATGACAACGGCGTCCATACTACTCCTCGGGCTTCACTAAATTGATCGATACAGGTCCCGACATCTGGGAGTGTTCGCTAAAGAATGGCATAGTGAGTGAGTCTCCTATCAATTTGTGGGTAGACTGAGCGTACACATCCGGAACCCAGCCACCCGGTCTCTGAACCCAAGCGCGCTTCTCTTCCGCGGCCCGACAACTCTTCCTGCGAATCAAGTAGATCGTGAACTGTCATAAGGCAGGCATTTAGCTTGAATTACGACAGTATGAACCTGAGCTCGTACCATCGTGATCAATACGACTCCCGCGACAGAACCAAGTACTGCCCCCAGGATAATCCTGAGTCTGTCCCTACTGCTGGCATTACTGCTGGACATCGCTGAAGAGCTTGCCACTGGGATCACAGTCGCAAGGGAAACCAGTGCAGGAGTCCTGCCCTATGGGTAAGCATGTACTGACGTTCAGCTTGGGAGACGACGACCCACAGGGGTACCCTCATTATGCCTCCGCCAGTGCTATACACTTGCCAACATATAGCGTTTGAGGGCACAGCATCGCCGGGACTGGTACGCGTGATGATGCGAAGGATAATGAATCTCTGTCTCGCGCGACATCTCAGCCAAACGCGCACTTACTCCAACGAAACAGAAGCAACGCTGTCCTGAAGCGTTTCATAAGCCCAACACTCCGTGCGCGTCGCTGGGGCAACTGGCACTGCCGTTCTAGGGTCAACGCATGATGTGAGTATCCTCAGATTCCTATACAAATGTTGCGCAGGTCTAACGTGATCGGGATTGCTGCAATACCCCCTCCTACCGCGAAGGTCGACCAAGTTACACTAGCTGTATAACTGGGTGAGGCGCTCTGAGCAACGACGAAGAGGGGCAGAAGAACGACTGCCAGGAGGGCCCGCATGTCGTTGAGCGTCTATAAGGAGAGGGGAAGCCCTGCCCAAGCTGGTCGCCCGCTGACCTATCCTTATATACCTGTCTGGGCATCAGATCCGAGGCTATAGTGCGGTGGTATTAATGGTTCAACTCAGATTCCGCAGAGAAGAGCCTAGTGGCATCATCACGAGAGATTGTGACCTTATCTCGGCCTTCTATGAAGATAGCTCAGCTTATGACGTTCTGGTAGGATGTCCACAAAGGTCAGTGAATCCGGCGTGTGCGAATCTGTGGGAGAGGTACGAGTACAATCCCTTGACTATAAAAGGAACATCATTAGACGAGGCTATATTGCGATACAGGGGGTACGGTTCCAGCCCGCAGTGACTCAGAAATGGAATTAAAGGCGAGAAAGTATGAAAGCAGGAGGTTTACTGCGACAACATCATGTACAGGTGTTACAGCCAGTTTACTTTTCCGCGAGGCTTAGATATATGCATATGGACGGGCTTCAGCGTGAATTTCCGTGTACCTTTGGCTGAAGTGTGACGAGCCGCGTCTGCCTCACTTCTGCCACGCTTGGGCCAAAGTACCTCTGCGTGAGGAAACTCCACTCCAAGTTGGTCGCAACCCAGTTCTCCAAGCCATCGAGGAAATCCGAGACGGCCTTGTCCGTCTTTACTCCCCACGACGGTAGCTTTTGTCGGCTACTTTGGAAGCGATCCATGAGGTCTTGAAAGTATACTCCGACATAATCGCATGCCTCTTGCAAGCTGAGATTCCTTTCTTCCATGAGCACTCTAATGATGTTGTTGCCGTCTTGTCCTTTCGACTGTTCGACGTTATACGAATACAGATCCTAAGCGTTCGCAGCTAAGCCAGATCGACGCGAACAGGAGGAGTGAAGCAAAACATACGTTCGACCAGCTAATCATGTCCAGTGCACATAGAAAGAGATCCTCGAACGTGGGATTGGCGAAAACTTCGTCTGGTATGTCGGAGCCCGCTGCGTATTCAATTAGGTGGAAGCACGGACGGACACCGCTGTTCTCCCTGCGTAGTTCGGTGTATGCTTGAACGTCGAGGACTTGGCCGTTCTCGCGGAGTTCCGCCTCTTGGGCGAAGGCAATGGCATAGTCCTCCCAGGTTTTTAAAAAGCGGCGCAGGAAATTAGGACGTGCATGACGAAGGAGCCTGACCCGGAACCTGTACTGCAATCAGCGCTTAACAGGGATCAACATG